ACCTCCAGTGCTAGGACCTCCAGTAGGAGGGCTCCCAGCTCTAGCAGCGCGACGCTGACGGCTAACGTACCACTCACGCAGCTACTGTGGGGAGAGAGGGACACGCCAACGAGAGGGCTGCGGCGAGGCACTAGCAGAGCGACTACGAAGGCGGCCACTCCAAGGAGAGACTGCTCACGAGGCGCCTCAGTGCCCCCAGGTGCATCACCCCCAGGCTCAGTAGCCTCAGGCTCAGCATCCCCAGACTCCGCACTCCGAGGCTCAGCACCCCCAGGCTCCGCACCCCAAGTCTCAGCACCCCTAGGCTCAGCACCCCCAGAAGCAACACCCCGAGCAGGACCAACCCCAGTAGGACCTGAGTCACCACTGACCTCAACCGGCTCAGTCAAGGGAGGAGGGTCTACCTGAGACACACCTGAACGAGCGGGACCTGGAGCGGGGAGGGGGTTTACCTGGGGAGGACCTGGAGCAAGAAAGAGCGGCGGGGGGGGGGGAGAGGGGCAGTGTGGTAAGAAAAGAGACGGTAAAAGGGTACCGACTCGTCAAAGGTGACGTCCTGAGACGCAAAGACATGGCGCGAGGCGGGGTCGTAAAACAGCCAGCCAGGCGCGTCACGGACAAAGCCAAGGAAGACGCAGGTAATAGCGCGAGGGGAGAGCTTGTCCGCAGTGGAATCGCGGACAAAGGCACGAGCACCCCAGACCCGGAACCGCGACGCATCGCCAACCTCCCCCGTCCAACACAGTGTGGGCGAGGTCTCCGGCACGGAGACACGGGGCCAGAGGTTGAGCTGATGCGCGGCGTACCGGACCGCAAACGGCCACAGAAAATGGGGGGCAGCTGCATGGATCATGGAGGTACGAGCGACCTCCATGACTAAGCCAATGCGACGCTCAGCAACCCCATTCTGCTGCGGAGAGGCCGAAAGCGTGAACGTCTGGCGGATGCCGTGCTCCTCATAGTAGGCTCTAAAGAGGTCAGAGGAGAACTCACCACCTCTGTCAGAGTGCAGACGTAGGACAGGAAAGTCCGACTGGAACCGCTCACGGAGCTGGAGACGAGCAGCGCGGATCCAGGGGATCAAAACATCAGGGACCTCCCCCTTGCGCTGCAAGGGGAAGACCGTGGTGTAACGCGTGTAGTCGTCGACTACGAATGGGAAGTACCGCTCGAGGCCCTGTCCACGGACACGGGCTGGCCCCACACGTCCAGGTGGAGAGTCTGCAGTGGAGCCTCTATGGGAGGGAACGAGGAGGAGTGAGGAGCGGCGCGCTGCCACCCCTCGACGCAAGGAATGCAGGGCGGCGCAGGCAAGGGAGGGAGGGAGGGCAGAGACCTGGGAAGACCAGAGACCAGGGAGCGAGAGTGCATGCCACGAAGGCGAGGCAAGGAGGGGTGACCAAGGCGGTGGTGCCAAAGGAGAGTCTGGTGCGACAGGCAGCGACACTCACACTGGGTAGCTACCTGAGCGGACGCGTATAGCTGAGGAGACAAAGGGGAGGAGCCTGATGCAGTGGTGAGGGTGTACAGACTGGACCCAGGTGCACGTGTGAATGTGGCCAGGTGGCGGCCAGTCCGAGAGCACGTGCAGATCGCCACACGCTGTCCTCCAGGAGTAAAGGTGTCAACCCAATTATCCTGAAGGACAGCATTGCTCACCAGGTTCGTAGAGAACGAGGGGAGGTGAAGACCAGACAGCTCACCAAACGGGACCGCCAGACACAGAAGCACGGTAGTGGACCGTGCTAGCAATGGGCCCCCAAAGGGGTCAGCAAGTGAGACAGGGACAGGTGCAGGGAGGGGAGTGATTGTGGTACTTTCGCGAAAGAAACAGCGGGAAGCACCAGAGTCAAGTGTGAAGGTGTGCAAGGCCTAAGCAGACGCAGTACCAGGGAGAGCAGACTCACTAGCACCTAGGGCCGGAGACTCTATATCAGGGTCAGGCGGCACACATAAGTAGCAGTCACCCTCAGCACTAACAGTCAATGCATACATGGCAGCAAGAATCGCATCATAGTCAAGATCAAAGATAGGAACACCACGCCTAAATAGGTCTGCCCAGTAGGCGCGCAGCGGTGAGCAAGCTTTGCTTGCGAAGGATAAGTTAAAGATATGAGTAAATGAGCGGGGACCTTTTGAAAATTGTATTAGCACAAAATTCTCGTAGAGATTCCGATCGAAAGTTTTTCTTGAGTTTTTGAGAAACTCGAAGAAAAGCTTGCTTTAAAGCAAAAAACATTATTTTTGTGCGAAACATGCGCACCAGGCGTCGCTAAGCCGAGCGAAGCAGCGGTGCTCAGTGTGAGACCCACCGCATGGACGACCAGTGCAGGGGCCTGTGCGAATGATATAAGGGCAGCGAACAGGACCCCCAGACGCCCCACGCTGAGTATACCAGTCATGAAGCTGCTAAGGGGAGGGGGTCTGCTGCTGACGCTACTGCTGCTGCTGCTGACCCTAGCCACCATTGGAACCCCCCTTCTGGCCAGTTCCACTCCCGCCCCCACCCCCACTGCCACCACCGCTCCCTCCTCCCCCACTGCCGCCGTTGCCACCTCCACCGCCACCCCCACCACCACCCCCACTACCACCCCCACCACCTCCACCTCCCCCATCTCCTCCACCAATGCCCCCTCCACCGCCACCCCCACCTCCCCTACCACCCCTACTGCCCCTGCCGCTGCAACGCTTCCCACTAGGAGCGGAAGCAGCCCCGACCTCCTCGGCACCAAGGTAGTCGAGAGCAGCTGCAACAGAGGCATAGGAGGGTGCAAGAGGGGAGGGGGAGCACCCCTCAAATAGGGGAGTGCGCGGAGTGCCACGAGCAGCACCTACAGCGAGAATGTTCTTTTCGGCTGCGAGGAGGTGCTTCTCTAGGTCGGCGATAGTGATAAAGGGAGGGTCTAGGGCGAGAAAGTGGTCCCTGACTGAGCGAAGGGTGTCAGGGAGTCGGGTGATGAGGAAGTAGAGAGTAAAGTACATCAGGGGGGGGGGTGGCTATGCGAGGAACTCGTCGGAGAGTGCGGCATGAAAGCGAGCGTCACTAGCGCGCAGGTGAGAGATGAGGTCCTCAGGGGTGGTAAACGAGGACAAGTCGGAGAACATGTAGGGTAGCATGAGACGACCTATGTCTGCAGTGGCAGGGAAAGAGTAACGGGCAACAACAGCCTCGTACAGTGCCTTTGCAGTCTTGTGCTGACTAAAGTGCGCGCGCTCAGTGATCGGCAGATGATTGCAAATAGCTAGGCGCGCTGCAGCATCTCTAGTCTGCCACTGAGAGCGGTCGAGAGCGGTAGCAGTGTCAGCAGGAGCAACGGATGTGCTAGACGCATGATCGAACAGTGAAACTCTGTCTTTAGCGTCAGTCATAAGAAACAGTTGCAGGTCGTCAAGCCAAACGGCAAATTCTATCGGGCGACCGTCAGGATCGAAAGCGAGGACATTAAGGGATGCCATGACGTCAGCGCAGGTGGCAAAGCAGAGCTAAGGCCGAGAGAAGCTGCTCGCATGGCCGCAGGTGCGGCGCACTAGCTGCTAAGGCGGTACTCAAGCGATAAGGGCGGCAAGGCGGCGCGCGGGCTGGTAAGACGACACACGGGGCTAAAGCAGGCCGCGCTGGGGCGGCGGAGGCGCCACGCGGGGTTGCAGCGGACTGCGCGAGTGCAGGCTGCAGCAGGCGACGCGCGGCCTCCTAAGGTGGGGGGGGGGGGGGGGGGGGGGGGGGGGGGGGCAGCAGCAGGCCGCGCGCTGTCTTTTAAGGCCGCGCGCAGAGCAGCTGCGGGCTGCGTGACCAGCAGAGGTGACGCGCGCGGCAGCAGCGGGCTGCGCAGGCCGCTAGCGTGGCGTGCGCAAAAAAAAAGAAGGTAGCGCGCGCGGGCAGCGCAGCGCAAGCAAGGCAGGGCGCGCGTGTGAGGCACAGCGCAGGCAAGGCAGGTGGGGCAGTGTGGTAATTGCAATGGTAGGTGGGCCCGAAGTAAGACGGTCCTACGGACCTACTGCTCTATACCATGTCTGAAAATACTAGCCAGGAATTGATTGACTAGATGAGAGTTGGGTACAAATATGAAACCCTAAGGGGCTATACCCCATAGTAACTACCCAACTACAGCCTACACAAATATACCATATATATAATTTGACACCTCGCGCTCTCCCTTCTTCTCTCCCCTCCCATCACCCACTTCGCCGCCTTCACTCTTGCTCTGAAACGTCCTCCCCGTGCCTTTCCTCCCTCCCCTCCCATCACCCTTTCCATCACCCTCGCGCTCTCCGCGAAACGACCTCCTGGCACCCTTCGTCTCAATCCCGTTGCCCTTCCTCTCTCGAGATGGAATTGGCTTGATCACCAGGTGCTACTTACTTCCGCTGCCAGGTAATTCGTCCATTAATTCTCTATAAATGAAGCATGATTTTGTCCGTAATTTACTCCTCTCCCGTCGTTCTTCCTCTCTCTCCCCGCCTGTCGCCTTCGCTGTCCCCGTTCCCTTTTCGTCGCCTTCACTGTCCTCCCTCCCCCCTCCCTTCCATCCCATCTCTCGCTCGCCCCTCCCACTCCACTCATCACGCCAGCGCGAATTCTCAGTCGCCGCCGCCGCCGCCAGCGCTTCCCATTACCTTTCCCACTCTCATTTCCTATATCGTTCTCGTTTATCACCCCTAGTTATTGCACCTCTCAGGCGGCAACTCCAAGGAAACAGTTTTGTCACAGCTATGCTATGCACAAATGCTGCCTGTGTGTGTGCTATGGTGCAAGTGCTAGTGCTCGATTTGGATTTGGTGAAGTGTTGATTACAGGAGTACTAGCATTGCTCGCGCTACTCTGCGACGAATTCGCACATGCATGCGGGAGAATGTTTCCACCAATCAGAACCCGAGAAATAATTCCAACTGTTCCCCGTTCACTTTGAAAATCCTCTGAAGGTGAAAACAAATATTTGTAGTGAGTTGGTTTTCAAGTGGACCCAACTAGAAGGCGGGGGTCACTATTTTAGCTGCTGGCTTTAAAGCTCCTTAATGAAATCCGTTATCGTGGTAACCGCTTCGTCCACTGTGTTACTCAAGGAGTGGTCGGCTCCAGGAATTAGGGCAGCGGTGGCACCACCGATAGCAGCACAGAGCCTGAAGGGAGGAAGGGTGGGTGATGGGATGAAGGGTGGCAGCACAGACAGAGCCTTAATTGGGGGCATGAAACGGATGTGTTGTCGCCCACTGTGTTACGCAGGGAGTGGTCGGCTCCAGGAATTAGGACAGGGGTAGCATTTCCCATAGCAGCACAGAGCCCGAAGGAAGGGTGGTGGGATTAACAGTGGCATAGAATGGTTGGGTTATTATCGACTGTGTTACGGTACTCAGAGAGTCGCCTCTCTGTCGACTCAAGAGTGTTAGTGAGGGAGTTTGTTGGCTGTAGCATTCATAGCATGGGTGGCACCAGCCATAGCAGCAGAGAACAGAGTTTGACGGAAGGTGGGATTAGCAGTGGCATGAAAAGGTGGTGTTTTGATGCAACAGCACCAATACAGAAGAAAACGAGAACAGTAATGAGGAAACAACAGGGTAATGTAATAAACAAATGCATGTGATGAAAGTTGAAAAGGTGCAAAACAGGGAAAAGGGAATAAGCTAAGCTACCAACTGAAAAGAGGCCTGTTACTTGTGAGTGATGAAACTAAGTGAGTGGGATCATCGTGATTAATGGAGAGTCAGAGGAAAAGCACGATGAGTGAAAGGGCGAGAAGAGAAAAGGTATGAAGCAGAGGCATTAAAAGAGAAGGAAGGCAAAAGAGTAGAGGGACGAAGGGAGAGGGAAGAGAGGAGAGGGGAGAGAGGAGAGGGGAGAGAGGAGAGGGGAGAGAGGAAACAGAAGAGAAGAGAGGGAAGAGAAGAAAATGAAGAGAGGAAAAGCCAAGGAAGAGACAAAAAGAAAGAGATGAAAGAAGAGAGGGACATGGTTCAAGGGTGGAGAGGACAGGGGCAGCAAGAGAACAGGGGATGGAATTCGCACAGTCGAGGGAAGGAATGAATTTTGAGGCGCCTCAAAAGGGGCAGCAAGAGAACAGGGGATGAAATTTGCACAGTCGAGGGAAGGCATGAAAGAAACTACAAAACTTACCCCTGTAACAGCTTTCCCTTGTCGATGATTCTTGGCTTGTTTTGAGAAATCTCAAAACAGTTGGAATGGAAGAAAGAGGGAGTCTTTACCTCTGTAGCAGCTTTTCCTTGTCTAAAGCTCTTGGCACGTATTGATCCTCCCCTGATAGAATCACCTGCGTGGAAAATCACAAGGTGATTTCATGGATGGGGGCGCTTCATATGGTATAAATAAGATTGGGTACACACACATATATATATATATATATATATATATATATTCCCTGATCTGACCATCATTGCCATGCACCCATGCGCCCATGCACCCATGCACCCATGCACCCATGCACCCATGCGCCCACCCATGCACCCATCCAACTCCCCACAAGTCACCACAAGCTAACACTCTCACCAGGCACAGCCATGCACCCATGTGCCCCAGGCGCTCCTTCAACTCCTCGTCTGAGAAGTCTGAACTGAACATGTCATCATCATCCCCTCCCCCTCTCCATATGCCTGAAACCCAAGAAATCACACACACAACCCGACACCGTCTCACCAGGCACGGCCATGCGCCCATGTGCCCCAGGTGCTCCTTCAGCCCATCGTCTGAAAAGTCTGAACTCAAAATTCCTCCTCTTCTTTTCCCGTGGTTGCAGTTCAGCACATCTCACACACACAGCAACACACCATCTAAGCCTCTCACCAGGCACGGCCATGCACCCATGTGCCCCAGCCGCTCCTTCAACTCCTCGTCTGAAAAGTCAGAGCTGAACATGTCATCATCCCCTCCCATGCTCGCCAGGGAGTGGAACCTGAGAGGTGAGAGGGTGGATGAGAGGGCAAATATAAGGAGCATGAGGGGCACACGCAGGTATAAAGGGCAAACTTTGAAAAGTCAGAGCTGAACATGTCATCGCCCCCTCCCATGCTCGCCAGAGAGTGGAACGTGGGAGAGAGGGTAGATGAGAGGGAGTATGAGAGGGCAGATGAAAGTATGAACTGAACAAGTCGTCGTCCCCTCCCATGCACGCGAGGGAGTGGAACCTGGGAGAGAGGGTAGATGAGAGGGAGTATGAGAGGGCAGATGAAAGTATGAACTGAACAAGTCGTCGTCCCCTCCCATGCACGCGAGAGAGTGGAACCTGGGAGAGAGGGTAGATGAGAGGGAGTATGAGAGGGCAGATGAAAGTATGCACCGAAAAAGTCGTCGTCCCCTCCCATGCGCGCGAGGGAGTGGAACCTGGGAGAGAGGGTAGATGAGAGGGAGTAAGAGAGGGCAGATGAAAGTATGCACTGAACAAGTCATCGTCCCCTCCCATGCTCGCCAGGGAGTGGAACCTGGGAGAGAGGGTAGATGAGAGGGAGTATGAGAGGGCAGATGAAAGTATGCACTGAACAAGTCGTCGTCCCCTCCCATGCTCGCCAGGGAGTGGAACCTGGGAGAGAGGGTAGATGAGAGGGAGTATGAGAGGGCAGATGAAAGTATGCACTGAACAAGTCGTCGTCCCCTCCCATGCTCGCCAGGGAGTGGAACCTGGGAGAGAGGGTAGATGAGAGGGAGTATGAGAGGGCAGATGAAAGTATGCACTGAACAAGTCGTCGTCCCCTCCCATGCTCGCCAGGGAGTGGAACCTGGGAGAGAGGGTAGATGAGAGGGAGTATGAGAGGGCAGATGAAAGTATGCACTGAACAAGTCGTCGTCCCCTCCCATGCTCGCCAGGGAGTGGAACCTGAGAGGTGAGAGGGTGGATGAGAGGGCAAATATAAGGAGCATGAGGGGCACACGCAGGTATAAAGGGCAAACTTTGAAAAGTCAGAGCTGAACATGTCATCGCCCCCTCCCATGCTCGCCAGAGAGTGGAACGTGGGAGAGAGGGTAGATGAGAGGGAGTATGAGAGGGCAGATGAAAGTATGAACTGAACAAGTCGTCGTCCCCTCCCATGCACGCGAGGGAGTGGAACCTGGGAGAGAGGGTAGATGAGAGGGAGTATGAGAGGGCAGATGAAAGTATGAACTGAACAAGTCGTCGTCCCCTCCCATGCACGCGAGGGAGTGGAACCTGGGAGAGAGGGTAGATGAGAGGGAGTATGAGAGGGCAGATGAAAGTATGCACCGAAAAAGTCGTCGTCCCCTCCCATGCGCGCGAGGGAGTGGAACCTGGGAGAGAGGGTAGATGAGAGGGAGTAAGAGAGGGCAGATGAAAGTATGCACTGAACAAGTCATCGTCCCCTCCCATGCTCGCCAGGGAGTGGAACCTGGGAGAGAGGGTAGATGAGAGGGAGTATGAGAGGGCAGATGAAAGTATGCACTGAACAAGTCGTCGTCCCCTCCCATGCTCGCCAGGGAGTGGAACCTGGGAGAGAGGGTAGATGAGAGGGAGTATGAGAGGGCAGATGAAAGTATGCACTGAACAAGTCGTCGTCCCCTCCCATGCTCGCCAGGGAGTGGAACCTGGGAGAGAGGGTAGATGAGAGGGAGTATGAGAGGGCAGATGAAAGTATGCACTGAACAAGTCGTCGTCCCCTCCCATGCTCGCCAGGGAGTGGAACCTGGGAGAGAGGGTAGATGAGAGGGAGTATGAGAGGGCAGATGAAAGTATGCACTGAACAAGTCGTCGTCCCCTCCCATGCTCGCCAGGGAGTGGAACCTGGGAGAGAGGGTAGATGAGAGGGAGTATGAGAGGGCAGATGAAAGTATGCACTGAACAAGTCGTCGTCCCCTCCCATGCTCGCCAGGGAGTGGAACCTGGGAGAGAGGGTAGATGAGAGGGAGTATGAGAGGGCAGATGAAAGTATGCACTGAACAAGTCGTCGTCCCCTCCCATGCTCGCCAGGGAGTGGAACCTGGGAGAGAGGGTAGATGAGAGGGAGTATGAGAGGGCAGATGAAAGTATGCACTGAACAAGTCGTCGTCCCCTCCCATGCTCGCCAGGGAGTGGAACCTGGGAGAGAGGGTAGATGAGAGGGAGTATGAGAGGGCAGATGAAAGTATGCACTGAACAAGTCGTCGTCCCCTCCCATGCTCGCCAGGGAGTGGAACCTGGGAGAGAGGGTAGATGAGAGGGAGTATGAGAGGGCAGATGAAAGTATGCACTGAACAAGTCGTCGTCCCCTCCCATGCTCGCCAGGGAGTGGAACCTGGGAGAGAGGGTAGATGAGAGGGAGTATGAGAGGGCAGATGAAAGTATGCACTGAACAAGTCGTCGTCCCCTCCCATGCTCGCCAGGGAGTGGAACCTGGGAGAGAGGGTAGATGAGAGGGAGTATGAGAGGGCAGATGAAAGTATGCACTGAACAAGTCGTCGTCCCCTCCCATGCTCGCCAGGGAGTGGAACCTGGGAGAGAGGGTAGATGAGAGGGAGTATGAGAGGGCAGATGAAAGTATGCACTGAACAAGTCGTCGTCCCCTCCCATGCTCGCCAGGGAGTGGAACCTGGGAGAGAGGGTAGATGAGAGGGAGTATGAGAGGGCAGATGAAAGTATGCACTGAACAAGTCGTCGTCCCCTCCCATGCTCGCCAGGGAGTGGAACCTGGGAGAGAGGGTAGATGAGAGGGAGTATGAGAGGGCAGATGAAAGTATGCACTGAACAAGTCGTCGTCCCCTCCCATGCTCGCCAGGGAGTGGAACCTGGGAGAGAGGGTAGATGAGAGGGAGTATGAGAGGGCAGATGAAAGTATGCACTGAACAAGTCGTCGTCCCCTCCCATGCTCGCCAGGGAGTGGAACCTGGGAGAGAGGGTAGATGAGAGGGAGTATGAGAGGGCAGATGAAAGTATGCACTGAACAAGTCGTCGTCCCCTCCCATGCTCGCCAGGGAGTGGAACCTGGGAGAGAGGGTAGATGAGAGGGAGTATGAGAGGGCAGATGAAAGTATGCACTGAACAAGTCGTCGTCCCCTCCCATGCTCGCCAGGGAGTGGAACCTGGGAGAGAGGGTAGATGAGAGGGAGTATGAGAGGGCAGATGAAAGTATGCACTGAACAAGTCGTCGTCCCCTCCCATGCTCGCCAGGGAGTGGAACCTGGGAGAGAGGGTAGATGAGAGGGAGTATGAGAGGGCAGATGAAAGTATGCACTGAACAAGTCGTCGTCCCCTCCCATGCTCGCCAGGGAGTGGAACCTGGGAGAGAGGGTAGATGAGAGGGAGTAAGAGAGGGCAGATGAAAGTATGCACTGAACAAGTCGTCGTCCCCTCCCATGCTCGCCAGGGAGTGGAACCTGGGAGAGAGGGTAGATGAGAGGGAGTATGAGAGGGCAGATGAAAGTATGCACTGAACAAGTCGTCGTCCCCTCCCGTGCACGCGAGGGAGTGGAAGAGCCTGCAGGAGGGGGGCGAGGTATGGCGATGGGGGGTGAGAGGGGGGCGAGGTATGGCGATGGGGGGTGAGAGGGGGGCGAGGTATGGCGATGGGGGGTGAGAGGGGGGCGAGGTATGGCGATGGGGGGTGAGAGGGGGGCGAGGTATGGCGATGGGGGGTGAGAGGGGGGCGAGGAATGGCGATGGGGGGGTGAATGGACCTTTCCAAACGCGTTCCCCCAAACGAGGCGTGTTGAGAAGCCTGAACTGAACATGTCGTCGTCCCCTCCCGTGCACGCGAGGGACTGGAACCTGCAGGAAGGGTATGTAGGAGGGCAGAAATGTGTAGGTGGGGGAGGGGGAGCGGGCGGGTTATGTGCACCGGAGGAGGCGAACAGTATGAGCCGAGCATCATGCCAGCAGAGGAGCTGTTATGTCTCCTCCCGTGCATGCCAGCAGAGGAGCTGTTATGTCTCCTCCCGCGCATGCCAGCAGGGGAGTGGAACCTGCAGGGAGGGCTGACGTGGCGCATGCCGGAGTTACTTTTTGGAGTGTCTTCAAGAGGATTTTTACAAGGGTTCTCAGGAGGGTTCTCAGGAAGGTTCTCAGGAGGATTCCCAAAAAGTATCTTCAACACGAAAGGCAGTTATCTCTGCTCGTGTTGCAGGTTCCTTGGCTGGCTTGTTAGACCCATTCTTCAGTCGGCTCAAAAGTTCTCGAAGTTCTCAAAGATTTTGCGAATCCCCACCAGAGAGGGCAGTGACTGGCTTGCTAGACTAGACGTACCTGTTCGCTGTGATTGGTGCGAGCGGATCGGCACTTCTCGGCATCATCTCGGCGCCTCTGCCGCCCGCAATCATGGCCTGTGCCGCCTGTTTCATCTCCTCAAAGGCATCCTCTGTGTCCTTTCCCCCTTCCCTCGCCTGCTGCTCCATGCACTCCCTGTCACTCGTTGGCGCCTGGTGAGGGGTGAAAGGGAATGTGGGGGTGATGGGAAATCATGGCTAGTGTCACCTGCTTCATCGCCTCAAATGCTTCCTCAGCTTCCCTCCCCGCCTCCCTCGCCTGCTGCTGCATGCACTCCCTGTCACTCGTTGGGGCCTGGTGGGGGGGAAGGCAGGGAGGGATGGGATGTGGTATGGGAGAATGGGAGTGATCATGGCATGTGCTTCTCGTTTCATCTCCTCAAATGCCTCCTCAGCTTCCCTCACCCCCTCCCTCGCCTGCTGCTCCATGCACTCCCTGTCACTCGTTGGGGCCTGGTGGGGGGGAAGGAAGGGAAGAAAGGAATACGGTATGGGAGTGATCATAGCCTGCTGTGCCACCTGATTCATGACCTGTCACTCCTCAGACTCCTCCCCTCCCTCCATCCCCTGCTGCTCCATGCACTCCCTGTCACTCGTTGGTGCCTATTCTTAGGCGAAACGGAAGGAAGCGAGACTAAGATGTGATGAACGGGTTTCAATGACTGTGCCTTGTCAGCTCGCTGGAATTAGGACTGGAAACCAGGATCTCTGCTGAGAACACCTGGAAAACCACCTGGAAAACATAACCTGCAATCAAAATTGATGGCACTTGGAGAACTACCTGAAAGCACCTGGAAAACCACAGAATGCATCTAAGAACAAACGGTGGAAACAATATGGCATCACCTGGAAAACCACCTGGCAGCACCTGAAGAATGGCGGCTTTGACTGCGCTGCGATGGATAGCTTTAGTGCTCTTGAGATACGCCACTATGTCCTGATGGGGGGAGGGAAGGGGGGACGGGGGGAAATGGGGAAGGGGGGGAAGGAAGAAAGGTGGGTAGGTGGGTGCATCTAGTGCTCTTGAGATATGCCACTATGTCCTGATGGGGGGAGGGAAGGGGAAGGGTGGGGGGGGGGGGAGTGGGAGAGGTATACCACACTGCACTGCACCGCACTGCACCCTTCTGAGGCCAATGCTGTGGTGGGTGCAGTTAGGGCTCTTGAAATATGTCACTATATAAAGGGAGAGTCGTTGGGGGGGGAGGGAGATATATACCACACTGTACCGCACTGCATGCCTGCACAGAACCGCACTGCACCCTTCTGACAGCAATGCTGCGGTGGGTGCATCTTTGGCTCTTGAGATATGCCACTATGTGCTGATAAAGGAGGAGGGGAGGGAAGGAAAAAGGGAGACGGGTGAGTGGGAGAGATATACCGCACTGCACCGTACTGCACCCCGCTGACATCAGTGGCGAGGTGGGTGCATCTTTTGCTCTTTAGATATGCCACTATGTGCTGATAAAGGAGGAGGGGGAATGCATGTGGGGAGAGGGAAATGGGAGGCATGTGGGGAGGGGGGAGATATGTTGGGAGGAGGCAGGGGAGAGGGTAGAGATGTTGGGGGGATGAAACTGGGCGAAGCGGGAACCGCTTCTTTTAAAACACTTCTTTGAGACGTTTCAAACACTTCTTTGAGACGTTTCAAACACTTTTTTGAGACGTTTCAAACATTTCTTTTATCGAAAGGAAGGAGGTGATTCTGACAAGACCCACTGGCAGGAGGCAGGGGAGAGAGTAGACATGTTGGGGGGAGGCAGGGGAGAGAGTAGCCATGTTGGGGGGAGGCAGGGGAGAGAGTAGCCATGTTGGGGGGAGGCAGGGGAGAGAGTAGCCATGTTGGGGGGAGGCAGGGGAGAGAGTAGCCATGTTGGGGGGAGGCAGGGGAGAGAGTAGCCATGTTGGGGGGAGGCAGGGGAGAGAGTAGCCATGTTGGGGGGAGGCAGGGGAGAGAGTAGCCATGTTGGGGGGAGGCAGGGGAGAGAGTAGCCATGTTGGGGGGAGGCAGGGGAGAGAGTAGACATGTTGGGGGGAGGCAGGGGAGAGAGTAGCCATGTTGGGGGGAGGCAGGGGAGAGAGTAGCCATGTTGGGGGGAGGCAGGGGAGAGAGTAGCCATGTTGGGGGGAGGCAGGGGAGAGAGTAGCCATGTTGGGGGGAGGCAGGGGAGAGAGTAGCCATGTTGGGGGGAGGCAGGGGAGAGAGTAGCCATGTTGGGGGGAGGCAGGGGAGAGAGTAGCCATGTTGGGGGGAGGCAGGGGAGAGAGTAGACATGTTGGGGGGAGGCAGGGGAGAGAGTAGCCATGTTGGGGGGAGGCAGGGGAGAGAGTAGCCATGTTGGGGGGAGGCAGGGGAGAGAGTAGCCATGTTGGGGGGAGGCAGGGGAGAGAGTAGCCATGTTGGGGGGAGGCAGGGGAGAGAGTAGCCATGTTGGGGGGATGAAACTGGGCAAAGCGGGTGGCCAAAAGGAAGGAGGCGATTCTGACAAGACGCACTGGCAGGAGTAGCCACGTGATAAAGTAGTGTTTTGATTCGTCTCCACACACTACTTTTATCGAAAGGAAGGAGGCGATTCTGAGAAGACACACTGGCAGGAGTAGCCACGTGATACAAGAAGCGTTTTGAGGCGTTTCAAAACACTTGTTTTATCGAAAGGAAGGAGGCGATTCTGAGAAAACACACTGGCAGGAAGCTGATAGGGAGCTGGGAGCCGCGGGGCACCTTTAAGGGACATGTTGGGGGAGGAGATTGGGAAACACGGGATGGCCAAAAGGAAGGAGGCAATAGGGAAGACGCACTGGCAGGAAGCTGATAGGGAATTGGGATTTGGGAACCGCGGGGCACCTATAAGAGACGAGACATTTCTGGGAAAAGGTGACTTTTGAGTCGACTCAAAGGTCACCTAGGAGGCCGATAGGGAGCTGCGAACCGCGGGGCAGGAATAAGGGACGTGTTGGGGGAGGAGATTGGGAAACACGGGATGGGCCAAAAGGAAGGAGGCGATTCTGAGAAGACACTGGCAGGAGGCTGATAGGGAGCTGGGAACTGCGGGGCACCTATAAGGGATGAGACATTTCTGGGAAAAATGTATGGGGCAGAGCATATGGGGCATGGTGGGTATGGGGTATGTTGGTATGGGGCATGGTGGGTATGGGGTATGCTGGGTATGGGGTATGCTGGGTATGGGGTATGCTGGGTATGGGGCATGCTGGGTATGGGGCATGGTGGGTATGGGGCATGGTGGGTATGGAGCATGCTGGGTATGGGGCATGGTGGGTATGGTATGGGGCATGGTGGGTATGGGGTATGCTGGGTATGGGGTATGCTGGGTATGGGGTATGCTGGTTATGGGGCATGCTGGGTATGGGGCATGGTGGGTATGGGGCATGGTGGGTATGGGGCATGCTGGGTATGGGGCATGCTGGGTATGGGGCATGGTGGGTATGGTATGGGGCATGGTGGGTGTGGTATGGGGCATGCTGGGTATGGTATGGGGCATGGTGGGTATGGTATGGGGCATGCTGGGTATGGTATGGGGCATGGTGGGTATGGGGCAACGTGACGTTGTCCTCTGCTAAATTCACCTGGCATGCCATTGCCCTCTGTTGTGTACACCTGACGAACCATCGCCTTCTGTTGCAATCTCCTGACAAGGAGTTCTATTGAATTCACCTGGTATGTCATTTTCCTTGATTAATCTGGCGTGCAGTATTCTCTGTTGTATTCACCTGACACGCAGGCCCTCTGTTGCATTCACCTGACACGTAGGTCCTCTGTTTTATTCACCTGACAGCCTGTGCTGTGGCCGACCAGGACGACCTCCGAAGCCTGGTACCGCTTGATGATGTAAGCGATGAGGTCATCTATTTCGGCAGCATCCTAATAGGGGGCGGAGTGCACGGGACATGGGGTATGGGAATGGGCATAGTAAGACAGAGAGGGACGGGGAGGGGCAGCATTGAGTCTGTTTTTGAGACGACGTGGGGGGACGTGGGGACGTGGGGACGTGGGGACGTGGGGACGTGGGACGTGGGGTATGGGAATGGGCATATAAAGACAGAGAGGGACGGGGAGGGGCGGCAGGGGAAGGAGGATGGAGCATGTGAGAGCGACTGAAGGCGACAGCTGAGTCTGCTGCAGCAGCAGCAGCAAGAGGTGAGTGAGGCACATTGCACTGCAGGAGGATGGAGCATGTGAGAGCGACTGATGGCGCCAGCTGCATCTGCTGCAGCAGCAGCAGCAGCAAGAGGTGAGGCACATTGCACTGCAGGAGGATGGAGCATGTGAGAGCGACTGATGGCGCCAGCTGCGTCTGCTGCAGCAGCAGCAGCAAGAGGTGAGTGAGGCACATTGCACTGCAGGAGGATGGAGCATGTGAGAGCGACTGATGGCGCCAGCTGCGTCTGCTGCAGCAGCAGCAGCAAGAGGTGAGTGAGGCACATTGCACTGCAGGAGGATGGAGCATGTGAGAGCGACTGATGGCGCCAGCTGCGTCTGCTGCAGCAGCAGCAGCAAGAGGTGAGTGAGGCACATTGCACTGCAGGAGGATGGAGCATGTGAGAGCGACTGATGGCGCCAGCTTCGTCTGCTGCAGCAGCAGCAGCAAGAGGTGAGTGAGGCACATTGCACTGCAGGAGGATGGAGCATGTGGGAGCGACTGATGGCGACAGCTGCGTCTGCTGCAGCAGCAGCAGCAAGAGGTGAGTGAGGCACATTGCACTGCAGGAGGATGGAGCATGTGAGAGCGACTGATGGCGCCAGCTGCATCTGCTGCAGCAGCAGCAGCAGCAGCAAGAGGTGAGTGAGGCACATTGCACTGCAGGAGGATGGAGCATGTGAGAGCGACTGATGGCGCCAGCTGCGTCTGCTGCAGCAGCAGCAGCAAGAGGTGAGTGAGGCACATTGCACTGCAGGAGGATGGAGCATGTGAGAGCGACTGATGGCGCCAGCTGCGTCTGCTGCAGCAGCAGCAGCAAGAGGTGAGTGAGGCACATTGCACTGCAGGAGGATGGAGCATGTGAGAGCGACTGATGGCGCCAGCTGCGTCTGCTGCAGCAGCAGCAGCAAGAGGTGAGTGAGGCACATTGCACTGCAGGAGGATGGAGCATGTGAGAGCGACTGATGGCGCCAGCTGCGTCTGCTGCAGCAGCAGCAGCAAGAGGTGAGTGAGGCACATTGCACTGCAGGAGGATGGAGCATGTGAGAGCGACTGATGGCGCCAGCTGAGTCTGCTGCTGCAGCAGCAGCAAGAGGTGAGTGAGGCACATTGCACTGCAGGAGGATGGAGCATGTGAGAGCGACTGATGGCGCCAGCTGCGTCTGCTGCAGCAGCAGCAGCAAGAGGTGAGTGAGGCACATTGCACTGCAGGAGGATGGAGCATGTGAGAGCGACTGATGGCGCCAGCTGCGTCTGCTGCAGCAGCAGCAGCAAGAGGTGAGTGAGGCACATTGCACTGCAGGAGGATGGAGCATGTGAGAGCGACTGATGGCGCCAGCTGCGTCTGCTGCAGCAGCAGCAGCAAGAGGTGAGTGAGGCACATTGCACTGCAGGAGGATGGAGCATGTGAGAGCGACTGATGGCGCCAGCTGCGTCTGCTGCTGCAGCAGCAGCAAGAGGTGAGTGAGGCACATTGCACTGCAGGAGGATGGAGCATGTGAGAGCGACTGATGGCGCCAGCTGCGTCTGCTGCTGCAGCAGCAGCAAGAGGTGAGTGAGGCACATTGCACTGCAGGAGGATGGAGCATGTGAGAGCGACTGATGGCGCCAGCTGCGTCTGCTGCAGCAGCAGCAGCAAGAGGTGAGTGAGGCACATTGCACTGCAGGAGGATGGAGCATGTGAGAGCGACTGATGGCGCCAGCTGCGTCTGCTGCAGCAGCAGCAGCAAGAGGTGAGTGAGGCACATTGCACTGCAGGAGGATGAAGCATGTGAGAGCGACTGATGGCGCCAGCTGCGTCTGCTGCAGCAGCAGCAGCAAGAGGTGAGTGAGGCACATTGCACTGCAGGAGGATGGAGCATGTGAGAGCGACTGATGGCGCCAGCTGCGTCTGCTGCAGCAGCAGCAGCAAGAGGTGAGTGAGGCACATTGCACTGCAGGAGGATGGAGCATGTGAGAGCGACTGATGGCGCCAGCTGCGTCTGCTGCTGCAGCAGCAGCAAGAGGTGAGTGAGGCACATTGCACTGCAGGAGGATGGAGCATGTGAGAGCGACTGATGGCGCCAGCTGCGTCTGCTGCTGCAGCAGCAGCAAGAGGTGAGTGAGGCACATTGCACTGCAGGAGGATGGAGCATGTGAGAGCGACTGATGGCGCCAGCTGCGTCTGCTGCAGCAGCAGCAGCAAGAGGTGAGTGAGGCACATTGCACTGCAGGAGGATGGAGCATGTGAGAGCGACTGATGGCGCCAGCTGCGTCTGCTGCAGCAGCAGCAGCAAGAGGTGAGTGAGGCACATTGCACTGCAGGAGGATGGAGCATGTGAGAGCGACTGATGGCGCCAGCTGCGTCTGCTGCTGCAGCAGCAGCAAGAGGTGAGTGAGGCACATTGCACTGCAGGAGGATGGAGCATGTGAGAGCGACTGATGGCGCCAGCTGCGTCTGCTGCAGCAGCAGCAGCAAGAGGTGAGTGAGGCACATTGCACTGCAGGAGGATGGAGCATGTGAGAGCGACTGATGGCGCCAGCTGCGTCTGCTGCAGCAGCAGCAGCAAGAGGTGAGTGAGGCACATTGCACTGCAGGAGGATGGAGCATGTGAGAGCGACTGATGGCGCCAGCTGCGTCTGCTGCAGCAGCAGCAGCAAGAGGTGAGTGAGGCACATTGCACTGCAGGAGGATGGAGCATGTGAGAGCGACTGATGGCGCCAGCTGCGTCTGCTGCAGCAGCAGCAGCAAGAGGTGAGTGAGGCACATTGCACTGCAGGAGGATGGAGCATGTGAGAGCGACTGATGGCGCCAGCTGCGTCTGCTGCAGCAGCAGCAGCAAGAGGTGAGTGAGGCACATTGCACTGCAGGAGGATGGAGCATGTGAGAGCGACTGATGGCGCCAGCTGCGTCTGCTGCAGCAGCAGCAGCAAGAGGTGAGTGAGGCACATTGCACTGCAGGAGGATGGAGCATGTGAGAGCGACTGATGGCGCCAGCTGCGTCTGCTGCAGCAGCAGCAGCAAGAGGTGAGTGAGGCACATTGCACTGCAGGAGGATGGAGCATGTGAGAGCGACTGATGGCGCCAGCTGCGTCTGCTGCAGCAGCAGCAGCAAGAGGTGAGTGAGGCACATTGCACTGCAGGAGGATGGAGCATGTGAGAGCGACTGATGGCGCCAGCTGCGTCTGCTGCAGCAGCAGCAGCAAGAGGTGAGTGAGGCACATTGCACTGCAGGAGGATGGAGCATGTGAGAGCGACTGATGGCGCCAGCTGCGTCTGCTGCAGCAGCAGCAGCAAGAGGTGAGTGAGGCACATTGCACTGCAGGAGGATGGAGCATGTGAGAGCGACTGATGGCGCCAGCTGCGTCTGCTGCAGCAGCAGCAGCAAGAGGTGAGTGAGGCACATTGCACTGCAGGAGGATGGAGCATGTGAGAGCGACTGATGGCGCCAGCTGCGTCTGCTGCAGCAGCAGCAGCAAGAGGTGAGTGAGGCACATTGCACTGCAGGAGGATGGAGCATGTGAGAGCGACTGATGGCGCCAGCTGCGTCTGCTGCAGCAGCAGCAGCAAGAGGTGAGTGAGGCACATTGCACTGCAGGAGGATGGAGCATGTGAGAGCGACTGATGGCGCCAGCTGCGTCTGCTGCAGCAGCAGCAGCAAGAGGTGAGTGAGGCACATTGCACTGCAGGAGGATGGAGCATGTGAGAGCGACTGATGGCGCCAGCTGCGTCTGCTGCAGCAGCAGCAGCAAGAGGTGAGTGAGGCACATTGCACTGCAGGAGGATGGAGCATGTGAGAGCGACTGATGGCGCCAGCTGCGTCTGCTGCTGCAGCAGCAGCAAGAGGTGAGTGAGGCACATTGCACTGCAGGAGGATGGAGCATGTGAGAGCGACTGATGGCGCCAGCTGCGTCTGCTGCTGCAGCAGCAGCAAGAGGTGAGTGAGGCACATTGCACTGCAGGAGGATGGAGCATGTGAGAGCGACTGATGGCGCCAGCTGCGTCTGCTGCAGCAGCAGCAGCAAGAGGTGAGTGAGGCACATTGCACTGCAGGAGGATGGAGCATGTGAGAGCGACTGATGGCGCCAGCTGCGTCTGCTGCAGCAGCAGCAGCAAGAGGTGAGTGAGGCACATTGCACTGCAGGAGGATGGAGCATGTGAGAGCGACTGATGGCGCCAGCTGCGTCTGCTGCAGCAGCAGCAGCAAGAGGTGAGTGAGGCACATTGCACTGCAGGAGGATGGAGCATGTGAGAGCGACTGATGGCGCCAGCTGCGTCTGCTGCTGCAGCAGCAGCAAGAGGTGAGTGAGGCACATTGCACTGCAGGAGGATGGAGCATGTGAGAGCGACTGATGGCGCCAGCTGCGTCTGCTGCTGCAGCAGCAGCAAGAGGTGAGTGAGGCACATTGCACTGCAGGAGGATGGAGCATGTGAGAGCGACTGATGGCGCCAGCTGCGTCTGCTGCAGCAGCAGCAGCAAGAGGTGAGTGAGGCACATTGCACTGCAGGAGGATGGAGCATGTGAGAGCGACTGATGGCGCCAGCTGCGTCTGCTGCAGCAGCAGCAGCAAGAGGTGAGTGAGGCACATTGCACTGCAGGAGGATGGAGCATGTGAGAGCGACTGATGGCGCCAGCTGCGTCTGCTGCTGCAGCAGCAGCAAGAGGTGAGTGAGGCACATTGCACTGCAGGAGGATGGAGCATGTGAGAGCGACTGATGGCGCCAGCTGCGTCTGCTGCAGCAGCAGCAGCAAGAGGTGAGTGAGGCACATTGCACTGCAGGAGGATGGAGCATGTGAGAGCGACTGATGGCGCCAGCTGCGTCTGCTGCAGCAGCAGCAGCAAGAGGTGAGTGAGGCACATTGCACTGCAGGAGGATGGAGCATGTGAGAGCGACTGATGGCGCCAGCTGCGTCTGCTGCAGCAGCAGCAGCAAGAGGTGAGTGAGGCACATTGCACTGCAGGAGGATGGAGCATGTGAGAGCGACTGATGGCGCCAGCTGCGTCTGCTGCAGCAGCAGCAGCAAGAGGTGAGTGAGGCACATTGCACTGCAGGAGGATGGAGCATGTGAGAGCGACTGATGGCGCCAGCTGCGTCTGCTGCAGCAGCAGCAGCAAGAGGTGAGTGAGGCACATTGCACTGCAGGAGGATGGAGCATGTGAGAGCGACTGATGGCGCCAGCTGCGTCTGCTGCAGCAGCAGCAGCAAGAGGTGAGTGAGGCACATTGCACTGCAGGAGGATGGAGCATGTGAGAGCGACTGATGGCGCCAGCTGCGTCTGCTGCAGCAGCAGCAGCAAGAGGTGAGTGAGGCACATTGCACTGCAGGAGGATGGAGCATGTGAGAGCGACTGATGGCGCCAGCTGCGTCTGCTGCAGCAGCAGCAGCAAGAGGTGAGTGAGGCACATTGCACTGCAGGAGGATGGAGCATGTGAGAGCGACTGATGGCGCCAGCTGCGTCTGCTGCAGCAGCAGCAGCAAGAGGTGAGTGAGGCACATTGCACTGCAGGAGGATGGAGCATGTGAGAGCGACTGATGGCGCCAGCTGCGTCTGCTGCAGCAGCAGCAGCAAGAGGTGAGTGAGGCACATTGCACTGCAGGAGGATGGAGCATGTGAGAGCGACTGATGGCGCCAGCTGCGTCTGCTGCAGCAGCAGCAGCAAGAGGTGAGTGAGGCACATTGCACTGCAGGAGGATGGAGCATGTGAGAGCGACTGATGGCGCCAGCTGCGTCTGCTGCAGCAGCAGCAGCAAGAGGTGAGTGAGGCACATTGCACTGCAGGAGGATGGAGCATGTGAGAGCGACTGATGGCGCCAGCTGCGTCTGCTGCAGCAGCAGCAGCAAGAGGTGAGTGAGGCACATTGCACTGCAGGAGGATGGAGCATGTGAGAGCGACTGATGGCGCCAGCTGCGTCTGCTGCAGCAGCAGCAGCAAGAGGTGAGTGAGGCACATTGCACTGCAGGAGGATGGAGCATGTGAGAGCGACTGATGGCGCCAGCTGCGTCTGCTGCAGCAGCAGCAGCAAGAGGTGAGTGAGGCACATTGCACTGCAGGAGGATGGAGCATGTGAGAGCGACTGATGGCGCCAGCTGCGTCTGCTGCTGCAGCAGCAGCAAGAGGTGAGTGAGGCACATTGCACTGCAGGAGGATGGAGCATGTGAGAGCGACTGATGGCGCCAGCTGCGTCTGCTGCTGCAGCAGCAGCAAGAGGTGAGTGAGGCACATTGCACTGCAGGAGGATGGAGCATGTGAGAGCGACTGATGGCGCCAGCTGCGTCTGCTGCAGCAGCAGCAGCAGCAAGAGGTGAGTGAGGCACATTGCACTGCAGGAGGATGGAGCATGTGAGAGCGACTGATGGCGCCAGCTGCGTCTGCTGCTGCAGCAGCAGCAAGAGGTGAGTGAGGCACATTGCACTGCAGGAGGATGGAGCATGTGAGAGCGACTGATGGCGCCAGCTGCGTCTGCTGCAGCAGCAGCAGCAAGAGGTGAGTGAGGCACATTGCACTGCAGGAGGATGGAGCATGTGAGAGCGACTGATGGCGCCAGCTGCGTCTGCTGCAGCAGCAGCAGCAAGAGGTGAGTGAGGCACATTGCACTGCAGGAGGATGGAGCATGTGAGAGCGACTGATGGCGCCAGCTGCGTCTGCTGCAGCAGCAGCAGCAAGAGGTGAGTGAGGCACATTGCACTGCAGGAGGATGGAGCATGTGAGAGCGACTGATGGCGCCAGCTGCGTCTGCTGCAGCAGCAGCAGCAAGAGGTGAGTGAGGCACATTGCACTGCAGGAGGATGGAGCATGTGAGAGCGACTGATGGCGCCAGCTGCGTCTGCTGCAGCAGCAGCAGCAAGAGGTGAGTGAGGCACATTGCACTGCAGGAGGATGGAGCATGTGAGAGCGACTGATGGCGCCAGCTGCGTCTGCTGCAGCAGCAGCAGCAAGAGGTGAGTGAGGCACATTGCACTGCAGGAGGATGGAGCATGTGAGAGCGACTGATGGCGCCAGCTGCGTCTGCTGCAGCAGCAGCAGCAAGAGGTGAGTGAGGCACATTGCACAGATGCATACACTTACATTGCACGCCCGTGCCCCACCCACCCTGCCCATACTTACCCTGCCCTACCTACCTGCTCTAACGACGCGGCGCCGTATCCAAAGTAGGACGACGACAGCTGAAGTGAGTGAGGCACATTGCACCGCCATGTATCACCCCATTCCTCCGTCCGCTCTCCGCCCTACCTGCTCTAACGACGCTCCTCCGTAACCAAAGTAGGATGACGACAGCTGCGCCTGCAGCAGCAGCAGCAGCAGCAGCAGCAGCAGCAGCAGCAGCAGCAGCAGCAAGAGGTGAGTGACGCACACTGCACTGCCAGTCCCCATCCTTTTGAGGCGCCTCAAAAGTGAGTGACGCACACTGCACTGCCAGTCCCCATCCTTTTGAGGCGCCTCAAAAGTGAGTGACGCACACTGCACTGCCAGTCCCCATCCTTTTGAGGCGCCTCAAAAGTGAGTGACGCACACTGCACTGCCAGTCCCCATCCTTTTGAGGCGCCTCAAAAGTGAGTGACGCACACTGCACTGCCAGTCCCCATCCTTTTGAGGCGCCTCAAAAGTGAGTGACGCACACTGCACTGCCAGTCCCCATCCTTCCTCCGCCAACTCCATGCCTGCTCTAACGACGCGGCGCCGTATCCAAAGTAAGATGACGACAGCTGAGTCTGCAGCAGCGACCAACGAGCGGCTGAGGGCCGCTGGATTTGTACACAGTGCACTCACCTCCTGGGATATCCCCGTGTATGAAGAAGTGTTTTGAGACGTCTCAAAACACGGCCGCTGGATATGTGCACAGTGCACTCACCTCCTGTGATATCCAGGTGACCTTTGAGTCGACTCAAAAGTCACCTCGTTACAATGGCACTGTATACAGTGCACTCACCTCCTGGGATATCCCCACTTGCCATACCTTCTCTAATGACGCAGCGCCGTATCCAAAGTAAGACGATGAAAGCTGAGTCTGCAGCAGCGACCAATGGACGGCTGCCAGCTCGGACGCCAGCCTGGCGGTGTACTGCGTCGGCAGCAGCCCGTCCGTGAGGCCACCAAGGATGATGACGTGGCGGGGGAAATCGGACGAGCGGAAGGCGACCTGAGAGGGGAAAGTGGGAGAGAAGACAGGAGGAAGAGATGACTTATGTATGAGACCCCCCTTCCCCCCCACCTTCCTCCACCTAAGATGGTGGCATGGCGAAGGAAAGAGAGTGTTAACTTTATCCTTCCCTAGGATGATGACGTGGCAGGGGAAGTCGTATGACCGGAATGCAACCTGGGAGGTGGAGGGTGGAGGAGGGGAGGGGATGGGGGGGAAGGATTGTCCTATGTGATCCTGCCCCTTTCCTAGGATGATGACGTGGCAGGGGAAGTCGTTTGAGCGGAAGGCGACCTGAGAGGGGCAAGTGGGAGAGAAGACAGGAGGAGGGGATGACTTGTGTATGAGAGCCCCCCTTCCCCCCACCGCTGCAGGGTATTTTTGTGAATTCTCAAAAATAACCTGGAGGAACGTGGGAGAGAAGACAGGAGGAAGAGATGACTTGTGTATGAGCGGAAGGCGACCTGGAGGTAAGGCGGAAGTCACGAGGAGAGGGTGGGGGGGGGGAAGAGGGGCGGAGAGAAACAAGTCAGGATGATGTGACGTGAGACACGACCTGTGAGATCCTTCTGAGAATTCTCGAAAGCGCTTTCCATGCTTCTGAGAATTAAAAAATGATGTGGGACACGACCTGTGATATCATTCCACCCCCCCCCTCCTCTCCCCCATCTCCACCTAGGATGATGACGTGGCAGGGAAATCGGACGAGCGAAGAGCAACCTGGGGGAAGGCGAGAGAGAGACGGTGGGAGGGGAAGGGGGGGAATAGGGGGTGCGCGGAGGGGAGGGGGGGGGGAGGGGAGGGAGGTTGTTATCTGTGACGTGGAGGGGGAAGTCGGACGGACGGAAGACTTTTGAGTCGACTCAAAAGTCACCTTGTTTTGAGTTGACTCAAAAGTCAACTCAAGAGTCGACTCAAAAGTCAACTCAAGAGTCGACTCAAAAGTCAACTCAAGAGTCGACTCAAAAGTCAACTCAAGAGTCGACTCATAATTCACCTCTGTGACGTGGAGGGGGAAGTCGGACGGACGGAAGGCGACGTGGGGGAAAGGCGAGAGACCCAGAGAGGGTTAGACACGAGGAGGGACCCCTCGTGTGTCTCTCTCCTTCCTTCCTTCCAGGTGGCCTTCCGTGATAAAAGTTGAGTTCTGAGACGTCTCAAAGTTCAACTTCAGGGTGTTTTTGAGAATTCTTAAAAACACCCTGCAGCTTCTGAGACGTCTCAAAACTCAACTTTTATCACGGAAGGCCACCTGGAAGGAAGGAAGGAGAGAGACACACGAGGGGTCCCTGCGTCTTCCACAGATCACAGGGAGAAACAAGTTATCTGTTGAGTCCCTTTCCCCCTCCCCCCTTCTCCCCTCTTCCTTCCCCGTTCTCTGCTTCCCCCTCCCCACTCTCTCCTCCCAATTCCCCGCTTTCCCCTCCCCTTCTCCCCCGCCTCCACCTAGGATGATGACGTGGCGGGGGAAGCCGGACGAGCGGAGGGCGACCTGGGATGAGCGAGGCGCGCAGGGATTGGTGGGGAAATCAGTGCGAGGTGTATGCTTATAATGAGTAAACACTAAAGCGATGACGCACCTTAACGCCCATCTCCCCCCACCGGAACAGCACCCCGCGCATCTCCATCCCCACGCCCCCCGCTCCGCCATCCACGTTTTCCGCCTCCTCGATTATACCGCCGCTCGCCATTGTCCCGCTTTCACCGCCGCTTATCACGGCGCTTCCAACAGCGAATCGCGAAACCCCGCCGGCGCTACACGACCGGCAAATCGCCTTTCGCCGAAATTTCCCGCCTTTCCGCCGGCTGCTTGTGAATTCTCGCCAAAAACCAGGCAGCACGATATTCCCAAGGCGTCCTATCGGGGAATTACTAGCAGAGAATCCGAGATTCGCGGAGTTCCCTAGACAAGACGGAATCCGTCGAGCCGACTGAATCTGGATTGGCCAAAACGAGGTCAACCCTAACGAGCCCATGGAACGCCCATGGCCCACTCGCGGACCGACACGTGGAATGGCGCGTCTGGGGGGAAGTGTGCAAGCGCGCGCCGTCTGAATACATTTTTTTCGCGGGATTCGCGGCGTCGGAGGTACGTTTCGGTCTGTGTGGGTGCGGTGGTGATGGTGGACGAGGGCGGATTTACGTATCCGTTACTGCTTTGTTCCGCTGTTGCTTTAAGCCATTTCCTAGCATATCTAAACAAATCTTATTGAACATATCTTAGAAGGTTTCAGTTGATTGACAACTTGAAACTTTCTGATTGACAACTACCTATAAAGAAATAATCATAACGAGATTCTCGCCGCTGTGTGCTTTTGACCTTGCAGCTGTTGGAAACAATAAGTCTTAGTGCGCTTCTGTCGTGTCAAAACCCAAGACACTAGCGAAGCAGTCCGAATCGAAGCATCGAGTCAAACCTCGGAGGTTAGGGTAACCGCCTGGAGGTTACGGGAAAGTCAAAGGTCAGCGACCTTTGACTCGACAATTACAGCGCGACAGTTAAGGACACACAACTGACTCGTTACAGAGCAGTTGCCCGAGTCGCACTGTATCGAATCGCAACAGCAAATACAGTTATCTATCCATTCGTATTCCCTGTACTCTTATATAAAACCTTGTATTTGCTTGTTTAATTCAATCCACTTTGCTCTCACACACTAGTGCAAGGTCGGTTCACAAAGCTTCATTAAACGCTTCCGCTATTACAAATATCCTACCCAGAGTTATCCTCTGCAAAGATCCTTAAGGGCTTTCTCAGCCCAACATGGTATGAGAGCTGACAGGGGAAAACTCTAACTTTTTTATCATTACAAGACATGGCAACAAACAAGGAAAGGAGCTCCCCTAATGGCTCCTCGGGCACTACTCCTACTCCACCGCCAGCCTCTGGCCTGCAGACAGAGGAAGGCACGGCAGCAAGACCAAGGGGAACGTCAACCGAGACCCCCACGAACCATCCTTCTGACTTCGACCAGAGCATGATGGAGAAATTTTTCTCCTTCATGTCCTTCTACGAGCAACACCAGCAGTCGGGACCTGCACAGACACACAACAGCAACAACGGAGCGACACCCATGAGCCTTGACGGATCGTCATATGCGCGAGGGAATCAACAGCAGCAACCCACCTTTGCCCCGTACGAGCGCGGGTCGATCAGCTTCCTGCCTCAACCTTCACCTGCGCAAGACAAACCAATGGACGCTTTACAAGTTCAGTCACAATTCGCGCATGTCCTGAAACTGCAAACATCAAGACCCTTCGACGGAAAGGACTTCTTCACCTGGTCCTTTGAATTCGAGCTGATAATGGAGGGCGCGCAGATACTCGGCTTCTTCGACGGATCCCTACAGTATCCAGCAAACGGCACACAGTATGAGAAGCAGTAGTATACGTATCAATCGATGATGGCGTATACTATTCTACTGAGAAACATCACACCAACTCAGCAGCAGAACATTCGCTCTTACCGGAACTTCGGCAACTCGGCGGAACTCGCGTACGGCCATCTGAAGAACCTGTATCAGGCAACAGACAGTGTAAGCCAGAGCAGGTTAATGGCGCAATTGACAACAGTTGAAATGAAACCAGGAGAAAAGGGACTGGCGTATATCAGCCGATGTCGCGAATTGCGCGACAAGCTTCTTCGATGCGGAGGATCAATCTCTGAAGACGCCTTCGTGACAGTCATCATCGGTGGCCTCGGTCCTCAGTGGCGCGCCACCAAAGCAATTCTTCGAGCCCACGGAAGAATCTCTGAAGCAGCACTTTGCGCCGAAATCCACGCCGAGCAGCAGGACATGGACCTGCAAGAAGAAAGGCACAAGAAAATGGCATTAGCACCGGAGTTCGCTTTCCATACTCAGCGACGACACAACTACTACAACAACCGACAGCAGCAGCCGAAGCCAGTACCTCCGTTTTGTCACATCTGCAAAACATCAGGACATCCACGCACGCATTGCCCGTCCCGTCAGATAACACCACAGCGACAAGTGCGGCCTTCAAGCTCCCAAGTTGCTTCGACACAAGCAAGTCCGACAACCACGATTCAAGCTTCAACGACTTCAACTGGACAACCTGCACAAGGAGCAAGAAACATAGTCAACTGCATGGTCAAGATAAACGATTCTTGCATAACAGAGTCACCACCCCACTACTCACCAGAAGAGGAGCTCGACAACAGGACGCCCCGCCGCGAATCACTCCACCCGAATCCGACTTACGCCGCCATCGCTCAAAGTGAACCATCCGGCCAAGACACTTGGTTCTTGGATAGTTGCTGCGGGCAACACATGTGCTCGTCCGGACGCTTCGTACAACGCGAACACCGACTCCAACGAGAAGTTGTCATCACAGTCGCCAACAATCAAAACCTGCGCACACGACGATAAGGAGTGGTACAGCTTCAGTCAAGAGAAACAAATGTCATACTGCACATGTCAAAGGTACTCATCGCTGAAGGACTCGGTTACAACTTACTGAGTGTTAGCCAGTTGATGGCGAAGGGGATTCACCTGGAAGCCGACAACACCACCCAAGAGTTCAAGCTATACCACGGGAGAGGCGGTCTCTACATCGGGAAAGCAGTATTGAAGAACAACGTCTTCGTCCTCGACTTCGTTCCTGACGTGGGCACTGCAGACAGCGACGCCATCGTGAATTTTACTGACTGGACACACCCTCCAGATCTCGACCCCGACTTCAGCCCGGGAGGTTTTTGGTACTCCCACACTATCCCTGAAGCAGAACGAACACGAGCGTTAGCGACGATTCAACAAACAACAGAAGCAGAGACAACATCGGCAGCAGCAACAACATCGGCAGCAGCAACAACATCGGCAGCAGCAGCAACAACATCGGGAGCAGCGACAACATCAGCAGCAGCAGGAACAACGACACCCGTCACAGTCGACGAAGCACCACCAACACCCGCACAACAGCTAAATCCGACTCAACGCGAAGTCCACCGAAGCGCCAACTTCGTCGCCAGTTTTTACTCCAACTCCGACGCATACCAACGTTCACCCGGACACCGCGCCTCTGAAGAGATCTGGCACGCACGCACAGGACATCCAAGCAACACGGTTTTAAATAACACGATAAGAGCAGGAGTTCTTGACAAAGACTCTCTACTTCTACCCGACGGCAGAGAACTCCAAAAGGCACGAGGGACTTGCCTTACATGCCCCGAAGCTGACTTACCTCATCGACCATTCGCTACACATCACAACCCGAGCGCACCAGCGTACGCACCACTTGAAAAGGTTTACAGCGACATCCTCTACAATCGCGAACCAGGACAAGTCAACTACAACTACACCATCACCTTCATCGACGCCGCCACTCGATACGTCTGGCATCGTAACCTACCCAGCCGCGACATGGCGCTCGCAGCATTCGCCGCCTGGCTACCGATAGCAGAGAGAGAGTCTGGAACGCAACTGAAAAGCTTCCAGTCAGACGGAGGTGGCGAGTACACCTCTCAGCGCTTCAAGCAGTTCCTGGCGGAAAGGGGGATCAAGCAACTCCTCTCCCTTCCCTACGCACATCAGCAGCAAGGTGTTGCAGAAAGAATGAACAGGACTCTGCAGAACAGCATGCGCAAACTATTACGTGGCATGCGGCTACCCAACCACCAGTGGCCAGCAGCAATGGACCATGCTGTCATACTGCACAACTTGTTGTCGTCGTCGTCACTCCCGAACAACGCATCACCGCATCTGCTGTGGACAGGGAAGCAGGGCAGCACAAAAATGTTACGAGTTTTCGGGTGCATGGTACAGTACAGACCCCCAGAAGCACGAGCGGGAAGATTTTCGCAACGGGCACAGTGGGGACCACACCTCGGCATCGAGAAAAATTACAACGCGTGGAGAATCTTCAACGTCCACACAAAAAGAAACAGTAGCAGCACGAGATGTGATCTTCTACGAACGACTCACCCTTCAGACGTACCTCGCCAACTTGCACGAGAATCGGGACCTCACCAGTGGCTTTCGTGGTGACCGAGCCTTCGCGTCAGCAGCGGATGAAGCAGACTGGGATGAAAAGAACGTCGACAACGCATCGGAGGAAGCCGGACCTCTTCCGTACTGCTCCGTCGACGTGCCCATGGATGAGGAAAATCCTCGCGACAGTAACAACGCCGAAGTCTTCTACCATTTCGCCGACAATGGTTACGTAACACCTACGACAGTCAACACCAACGAAGCAGAAAGGGTAGGGCCAAATTTCATACCCGACCCAGAAGTGGGAGACGAAGCAGCTTATTTCGAGGATCCAGAACTCCCTCGATACTCACAGACTGGACTGCAAATCCTTGGTCTCGTCACCGCAGTCCATGGCACCGCCATTCCTAAGGAGCCTGCGACGGTTCAACAGGCTCTGGAGGGGGAACATAGGGAGAAATGGCGTGAAGCCATGGACAAAGAGCTGAAGGCACTGGAGGAGCGCAACACCTGGAAAATCATTCCCATCGGCGTAGCACAAAACAAGACTATTCTTACCGGAAAGTGGGTCTTCCGTGTGAAGACGAAAGCTGACGGCACCATCGACAAATTCAAAGCTCGCTGGGTCGTACGCGGCTTTGACCAGGAGCACGGAAGAGATTACACCGAAACCTTCACTCCGGTCAGCCGTCACACCTCACTCCGAATCCTCATCGCCGTCGCCGCCATGAAGAAAAAGAAACTGCGACAAATCGATGTCGCAAACGCATTTCTCTACACACCTGTGGATGCAGAAATCTTCGTCGAACTCCCGCACGGCTCCCACGGCGAACCCAACCGAGTCTGTCAATTGCTTAAGTCGCTCTACGGGATCAAGCAGGCACCACGACTATGGCAGCAGTACCTACACGCCCGCCTCATCCGCATCGGTTTCAAACAACTCCCGCATGACCAGGGCATGTATCGCCTCACAAAGGGAAGTAACTACGTTCTCCTAATCGTCTACGTGGACGATCTCCTCTACATTGGGTCAACCGACGGCATCGCCACGTGGTTCGAAGGGGAGCTTCAGAAAGACCTCACGCTCACGGTCTCCTCTACCGTTACGCAGTACCTCGGGCTCAACATCCGCGAGGAAGAAAACGCAATCTATCTAAGCGCCGAGAAGTACGCCGACACCATCGCGAAACGCTTCAGCCTCACACCAAGCGCCATCTCCACGCCTTACCGCTACACGTCAGGAACCGAAAAGGGACGATCTACCCTACTCAAGCCCGCCGGCATACGCGACTATCAGAAGAAGCTCGGATGTCTTCTCTTCGCAGCAGTCACATGTCGTCCCGACTTATCCTACTCCGCGAGCCAGCTCGCCACCTATCTCAAGAAGCCTGAAGCAGAGCATCTGGCGGAACTCGATCGCGCTCTCCACTATTTCGTCAGCACCGCGACGATCGGATTAACTTATCACAAAAACGCAACTACACCGACCAAGCTAATCGGCTACGTCGACGCCGATCACGCCGGCGACACCGATAACAGGCGCTCACGCACCGGCTATGTCTACCGCCTCGAGCCTATCGGTCCTATCTCCTGGCAGTCCAGTAAGCAGGAGTTAATCGCACCGTCTTCAGCTGAAGCAGAATATATTGCACTCTGCTCAGCCACCAAGGAGGGACTTTACCTTCGCGAACTACTGGAAGAAGCGAAGTTAGCCGAGTTACCCAGCTTCACCGTGTTCTGCGACAACCAGTCAGCAATTCGCATCGCCAACAAGAACGGCTTCGCAAACAGGACGAAACACATCGCCCTGCGCTATTTCTTCGTGAAGGACGAGATCGAAAAGGGGAAACTCGATCTGTCATACTGTCCCACGTCTGAGATGGCAGCCGATTACTTAACCAAGAAGCTCGGAAAGCAGAAGTTCGAATACTGCATGCTGCTGACTGGACAAAGCCACGTCACCTGCGGCGACACTCCAGAAGCGAAGGGGAGTGTTGGAAACAATAAGTCTTAGTGCGCTTCTGTCGTGTCAAAACCCAAGACACTAGCGAAGCAGTCCGAATCGAAGCATCGAGTCAAACCTCGGAGGTTAGGGTAACCGCCTGGAGGTTACGGGAAAGTCAAAGGTCAGCGACCTTTGACTCGACAATTACAGCGCGACAGTTAAGGACACACAGCTGACTCGTTACAGAGCAGTTGCCCGAGTCGCACTGTATCGAATCGCAACAGCAAATACAGTTATCTATCCATTCGTATTCCCTGTACTCTTATATAAAACCTTGTATTTGCTTGTTTAATTCAATCCACTTTGCTCTCACACACTAGTGCAAGGTCGGTTCACAAAGCTTCATTAAACGCTTCCGCTATTACAAATATCCTACCCAGAGTTATCCTCTGCAAAGATCCTTAAGGGCTTTCTCAGCCCAACAGCAGCAATACCACAGCAGAGCCAAACGACCAGAAACAACAATGGTTGCTTGCTCCCCCTCATCAGAATCTTTGCAAGCAGCATCCACTGGTTTCCCAGTTTCGAGCTGAGAGCTGACCACGCAAAAGGGGGTAATATGCATGGCCTCTCCTTGCATTATTAAAATCAGCCTCTGCAGCATGCGCGTGATCTAATACTATGGTAATTGACATACATCCTAATTACTGTAATCTAGTTGGCACCCAGGATGGAATTGCCTTGGGAGAAATGACACTGAACACGCCCTCAACAGCAGTGGGACCTCCCGTTGCTGGAACAGCACCCTCCCCTCTTGCAGCACATCTTGCCTCCACAGCACGGGTACTCCGAGTCCTGTGGGATTACCCGAAAAAGAATCAGTGAAGAAAAACAGTGGATTGGCACACAAAAACAGTGAATATTTTTTCTGCACTCAAGGAGCAATAGCCTCCTCTCTTGCAGCTCATCTGCCCCCCTCAACACGGGTACTTCGAGTCCTGTGAAAGTTACGGGAAAAAAGAGGACAAGGGAGAACGGTGAAAGTGGGGAGCAAGTAAAGGGAAGAAGGGTGAACGGGGCTAGAGGGAAAAGGTAGAACACGGAAAGAATCTTACAGGAAAGGGATGAATCGGGTGGAAGGACTGGAAACGGGGAAAGGGGAAAGGAGAAAAAGAGATGGGTGAGTGGGAGGGATGGCGGCAGAGATGGAATGGGTAACGTACGATTTAGCAGGCGCCACTGCAGATAGTGAGAGGAAGGGGAGGAAAAGGGGCAGAAGAGGGGGGATGGGGGGGGAAGGGGGGGGTGGGGAAGGGAGAGAAACGGGGAAGTTGGGAGAATTGGGGACGTACAATGCAGCAGGTGCCGCCGCAGAAGGTTCTGGGCGAAAGGGGAGGAATAGGGGCAGAAGAAGGGGGGGCGAGGGGGGGGGAGGGTAGGGGGGATTTTGGGAGGGGGTAGGGGGGATTTTGGGAGGGGGTAGGGGGACGTACGATGCAGCAGGCGCCGCCGCAGAAGATGCTGGGCGGAGAATTCCCTGGGCGGCCCGCGTAGGGGCAGTAGCCCTCGCCGCCTCCTGCGCTGCTCGTCGCGCTCCGCTTCCCGTGCTTCCTTGTCTGGTATGCCCCGCTACCGCCGCTTCCGCTGCTGCTGCCGCTGCCGCTGCTGGTGTTTCTACTAGACTTGTGTTTTTTGGAGTTTTCGCTGCGACTCTTGGTGGCCTCGCTAGACTTGCTAGTGTGGCTAGAAGAGGAGGAGGAGGAGGAGTGAGAATCGCTAGAGGATTTGAGCTCGCGCCTGCCATTGCTCCCCGATGCGTCGGTGCGATCGCCGTTGGTGGCGCTAAACGGACGCGACGCGGTGAGCTCTTCGGAAGTAGCGCCAGAGTCGGTTTCAGAAGCGGCTGCTGCTCGCAGTAAGAGTGGTTCGGAGGAGAGGACGACGATAGCGGTCGTGACGACCGCCAGGAGGAGGTAACGAGAGCTGGAAGTCATTGTGATCGCGGCGCGAACAGACTTGGTCGAGCGGTTTGACTCGGTTTAGGGGCTTCCGGGCGGATGCGAGTAGGAGATGTTTTAGCTAATTGAGTCTCACGGATAAGTTGCTGGACTGATCGGCAAAGAAGTTGATTTGACTGATAAGCTATTGGGATCAGTCCGGTGCTTATGCTGATCGCGTTTTAGGCAGCATGAATCCAGATCGCCACGATGATAGCAGGTGATGTCAAGACTATGGGGGAAAGAAAGGAGCTGGTGCGGTGCAGAGGCTGGGGTTGGGTGGTGATGAAATTCTGTTGGCGGTTGAAATCAGGATTTCTGAAAACAGCGTTCTGCGAAGCGCGCAATGTCATGTGGCGGCGAATGGAATGGGATGTGAGGCATTTTTCCCGCGTGGCGTGGTGTGAGGGAGACTGATGGGGGTGGTGGTGGTGTGGTGTCTCTGGCAGGGCACTTTTCATCGTGGCGCTGCGCTGCTGGTCAAAAGCTGGAGTCGTGGTCCACTTTTTCTGATCACACAGCCGTATGGTCTCGGAAGGTTCAAAACCGTTTTTCTACGGTCCGGAACATAATTGCGGGCTTATCAGGGAACAGAGAAAATATTCAGTCGGCTGACTGCGTCAGGGCTGTTCAAGGCTTAAAGTTTCCGTTGACCCGAGAACTGTATGGTTATAGAGAGCTTCGATAATTTACAACACCAGCGTTTGCTTCGCTAACGTTTCAAACAACAGCAACAACTTTCCCAACTTCTGCTCATCCATAATGTTCAAAACAGATACTCAACTGGTTCTAAGGGACGGAAGTAAACACAATTCTCATTTTAATGCAGTAAACGGAAGCACGAATAACAAAACTGTGTTTGTGTTCAGTGTCAAGCTGTGGGTTGTTTGCAACCAGAACTGCTTTTGGTAAGGATGATATGATGCAGCAGCACACCACACAATCCCACACCACACCAAAACATACTGCACCATATTAAATCCCACTACACCACACACGCCAATTAGTTCTATCTCCATCAGCTACGTCCTCCACTTCCAGTATGTCGCATCGCATCGCCACTCTCATAACACCTTGTCGCATAGCTTCGCCACTCCTGGTAGCTCCTCGCATAGCTTCGCACTCGTTCGCGTAGCTTCGCCAGCGCCTGCCGCCGTCGCGCTCGCGCGTCTTCACGAATCAGGCACACCCTTTCATCCGTACACGGGCGCCCGTCCGTCCGTCCGTCCGTCCGTCCGTCCGTCGCGTCCGTCCGTCCGTCCGTCCGTCCGTCCGCATCCAAGGCGCTGTTCATCCTCGCGAGTCGCGAATCATCTTGCGGTAGAGGTGCGTTTCGCGATTCACCCGTCGCTTGCCTTTGATGTGATTCCTCCCTCGCCTGCCTTGTAATCATTCCAAAAGTCATCGTGAATGTCAGCCGTTGGATCACCTTGCTATAGAAGTGAGTCCGCGCCCCATCCCCTCCCATGCCGGCAGTGTTTGTGCCTGTGGATGAATTCTCCATCTCCTCTGTCTCTTGAGTCGACTCAAAAGTCACCTCATCCCCTCGCATGCCGGCAGTGGATGTGCCTGTGGATGAATTCTCGATCTCCTCTGTCTCAACTCATGCAACCCATCAGGCGCCATGGGAGCAGAACAAGCGGAGGATCTAAGCGCAGGGGAACCGGCGGAACCAGCAGGCGCCACTATGGGAGCGGCGTGTCTAGGCGCAGGGGTCCAGCGCTCGATGCACCTGTGGATGAGCTTTGATTCGCCCCGAAATCCCCCCCGTCCACTCTCGATCTCCTCTCACCCCATGCAACCCAGCAGGCGCCATGGGAGCAGAGTATCTGGACACAGGGGAGCGAGCGGAAGCAGCAGTTTATCCGCCTGTGCAATGCGCTTTGACTCGCCTTTCATTCCCGAACCTTTCACTCCATGCAACCCAGCAGGCGCCATGGGAGTAGAGTATTTAAACACTCTAGGGAAAGAAGCGGAACCAGCAGCAGCCGATCCGCCTGTGGAGTGGAGTGGAGTGGAGTGGAGTGGAGTGGAGTGGAGTGGAGTGGAGTGGATGAATTCTGACGCGTTTCAAACTCCTCTCTCCCACTCTCGATCTCCTCTCACCCCATGCAACCCAGCAGGCGCCATGGGAGCATGGTATCTGGACGCAGGGGAGCGAGCGGAACCAGCAGTCAGTCTGCTGCCTGCCTGTGGATGGGCTTTGAAGGCGTCTGTTTCCCCTCCCTTCCACCCCCTATCCTCTCCTCTCTTTCCTCATGCCACCCAGCAGGCACCATGGGAGCCGAGTATCTAGACGCAGTGGAGCAAGCGGAACCGAGTTTCTACGCCTCAAATCCACCCCTTCCACTCATGATCTCCTCTCACCTCATGCCACCCAGCAGGCGCCATGGGAGCAGAGTATCTAGACGCAGGGGAATGAGCAGTCGATGCGCCTGTGGGTGAGCTTTGAAGACGCCTTATACCCCTCCCTTCCACCCCTTATCCTCTCCTCTCTTTCATCATACAACCCAGCAGACATCGCACCATGGGAGCAGGGTATCTAGGCGCAGGGGAGCGAGCGGAGCCAGCAGTAGATGTGCGTGTGGATGAAGTCTCAGGCGACTCAACTCCAAGTCCCTCCATCCACTCTTTATCTCCTCTCACCCCATGCAACCCAGCAGACATCGCACCATGGGAGCGGAGTATCTAGACGCAGGGGAACGAGCGGAAGCAGCAGTGGATGTGCCTGTGGGTGACCTTCGATCCCCCCATCCACTCCCAATTCCTCTTCCATTGTCCCGCAGGCGACATGGGAGCGGAGTATCTAGACGCAGGGGAGCGAGCGGAACCAGCAGTAGATGTGCGTGTGGATGAAGTCTCAGGCGACTCAACTCCAAGTCCCTCCATCCACTCTTTATCTCCTCTCACCCCATGCAACCCAGCAGACATCGCACCATGGGAGCGGAGTATCTAGACGCAGGGGAGCGAGCGGAAGCAGCAGTGGAAGTTTCTGTGGATGAGCGTCTGTCAGCAGAGCCAGCCGCTGAGGGGCGCACGCCAATGACTCTGGAACAGTACCGTGAATGGAAGGCGAGGAAGGTGAGCTTGTATGTGTATGGGGACCTACTAGGGGACCTGCTAGCAGAGCCAGCCGCTGAGGGGCGCACGCCAATGACTCTGGAGCAGTACCGCACGTGGAAGGCGAGGAAGGTGTGTTGTGTTTGAAGGGTGTGCTGTGACTGAAAGCCGGGTTAGAGTCTCATCTGCCAGGGGAGCCAGCAACTGAGGGCGCACGCGAATGACTCTGGAGCAGTACGGTGAATGGAAGGCCAGGAAGGTGAGCGCCAGGTGTGCTAGAAAGCCGTGCTCTGGCCAGATAATACAAGGAACCAGCAGTCGATGCACCTGTGGGTGAGAACCTGCCAGTAGAGCCAGCAACCGCACGCCAATGACTCTGGAGCAGTACGGTGAATGGAAGGCCAGGAAGGTGAGCGTCAGGTGTGCTAGAAAGCCGTGCTCTGGCCAGATAATACAAGGAACCAGCAGTCGATGCACCTGTGGGTGAGAACCTGCCAGTAGAGCCAGCAACTGCACGCCAATGACTCTAGAGCTGTACCGTGAATGGAAGGCCAGGAAGGTGAGCGTCAGGTGTGCTAGAAAGCCGTGCTCTGGCCATATAATACAAGGAACCAGCAGTAGATGCACCTGTGGATGGGCATCTGCCTGCAAAGCCAGCAGCCGAGGGCCAGGCTTGTGCCAATGACTCTGGAGCAGTTCCGTGTGTGGAAGGCCAGGAAGGTGAGTTTGAAAGTGAGCTTCCAGTGTATGTGAAGGATGTGAACAAGGATGTTTTCGTTGTATGTGTGAAGTTGAATTTCCTTCCAGTGTGTGGGGGGCCATGGCTGCCCGGTTGGCCTGAATCCATCATCCGGCGTGGGTCAGTTGACTGTTTCTGTTGTGGCTGTAGACTTGTCAGTGATTAGCTGTTTATTTTCCTCCCCATTGTCCTCGACCTAAGTTCTTTCGGGATTTATCCCCTTGCCGATCTGATTTTGGTTTTGTCTTATCCCGTCCTTGTCTCTTATGACTTAGGACCAAGAGGAAAGTGCAAGGAAAGAGGAGGCAGCCAGGAAAAGAGCAGAGGACATAGCAGCGGGGCGAGTGCCTATGAATGGAAGAGAGCTGTTTATCCATGAGCCCTGGGTGTTTGATGATTCGAGATGTACCTAGTTTTGTATATGGTATATTACTGTATGAGCTGAGAACCTCTAATGAATTGCTGATACCGCGTACTGTATGGATCTTTCACCTCACTAGAATCCCGTATATTGCATTCAAAACTTGAGAGCCTGATTGAACCACGCCAAAAAAGCGAGCCTGCGGAGGTTCGAACGCAGGTTCGGCGTTGATGGGATTTAGGCTTGATCGCAGGTTTGGCGTACTGCACGTAACATGTCATGCTTCGGTTGTGTACCGATTCGTAGCAGATTTCGCCTGTCGCAGAAGCCTTGTGGGGTAACCACTGTATACCCTGCCTGTCCCACCCCACCCCACCTTTCCCCTCCGCCCTCCCATCTGTTTTCCCCCTCGCTTGTTACCCACCCCTCCCTAATCTCCTCCTGAAGTTTATAGACTGCTCGCTAGTCTGCTCGCTTGAACCTTGCTGGATTCGCGGCAGGCTAGGACGCGTCGACGCCTCGTTCGCGCTTTTGCCGTTCGCTTTTTGAGATATATGGTTTCGAGGTGAAAGTAAAAGGGACGTCATCGCGCGTCGATCAGATTGTAGTTGACTTAATTCGCCGATATTACGGACGAGGATCAGACGTTAACTGTCAAGGATTGGACGAGCATTTCAGATTAGACGCTAAACGTAAAGGATCAGACGTGATCGACTGAAGTCTAGCGGTAACGGTTGAGAATCAAACGGTCACGGTCAGAGTCAGACGTTCGCCGTCAAGGATCTGACGTTAACAGTCAAGGACCAGACGTCAACGGACAGCGAGGGAGCATGGAGATCCCGAGGGAAGACTTTGAGCGAATCATGTTCTTCGAGCAGACGAGGGAGCAGGCGATGGCAGAGTTCAAGAAGAACCCACATGACGCCGATGTGAGTAAGAGTAATCTCACGGGGACTGCTGTTTGGCCCGCTTGAAATGCGAATCATGTTCTTCGAGCAGACGAGGGAGCAGGCCATGGCAGAATGCTAGAGGAACTCGCATGATGCCGATGTGAGTAGTTTGATGGTGGATTGTTGGTTCAAGCGGTGTACGCTTCAAGAGCAGGAGATGGTAGAGTCCAGAACCCACATGACGCCGATGTGAGTACTTTCACGGGGGCTGTTGGTTCAAGTTGGGCCTGCTTGAATTGCAAAGCATGTTTTCCGAGCAAACGAGGGAGCACATGTAGGTGTGCTGAGAATTCAGCAACATATATAGACATGGTCGCAGGTATAGTCGCAGAGACTGTCGCAAGTATCGTCGCAGCTGCGGTCGCAGGTACTGTCGCAGGTTGACCGCAGGTATGGTTCCAAGTGCTGTCGCAGGTACGGTCGCTGGTGCGATCGCAGGTACGGTTGCAAGTTCAGCCGCAGGTACAGTCGCAGGTACAGTCGCAGGTACGGTCGCTGGTTCGATCGCAGGTACAGTCGCAGGTGCGGTCGCAGAGCGCAGACCCGTAGCACGTGGCGGGGTTGAGTCGTCCAGGTGTCAGGCGCTGTTATCCCTTGTAAAATCCGGCGAGGTTTTTTCCTTGCGAGGTGACCTTTGAGTCGACTCAGAGGTGAATCGATCGACTCGAAAGTGAGTCGTCCAGGTGTCAGGCGCTGTTATCGTCGAGAGCTCTTTTAGAACCAGCCGAGGTTTGGTTCTTGCGAGGGAACCTTTGAGTCGACTCAGAGGTGTGTCGATCGACTCGAAAGTGAGTCGCCCAGGTGTCAGGCGCTGTTATCGTAGAACCCTTGCAAAATCCGGCGAGGTTTGGTCCTTGCGTTTCTGCTTCTCTGCTTCTCTGCCTCTTCGCGTCGCATATTTTCTGCTTCCCTGCTTCCCTGATTCCCTGCTTCACCGCTTCTCTACTTTTCTGCTCATCTGCTCCTCTCCTTTCATTGTCCCCATCTGTGCCACTCAGAATCTGACCAAGCTCGGCCGAACACTCGTGGAGCTGGCGCAATTCATTCAGGGGCAGGAGTCGAATGAGATGCTGGATGGTGAGTGTAACAGAGGGCTTATAACGAGTTTGTAACTAGACGACTTGACTTGTAACGGGGTCTGAGGTTGCCTATAACCAAAATAACTATACTTGCTGGTGGAGCTGGCGCAGCTCATTTAAGGGCAGGAGTCGAACGAGATGCTGGACGGTGAGTGTAACGGGTCTGCTCATAACGAGTCAAAAGGCTGTTGATAAAATGGACTTGCGCGGTTCATTCAGGGGCAGGAGTCGAACGAGATGCTGGACAGTGAGTGTAACGGGGATGCTCTTAACGAGTCAAAAGGCTGTTGATAACTGCAAGTTGGCTGCCGCAGCTAATTCAGGGGCAAGAGTCCATTGAGTTGTTGGATGGTGAGTGTTACAACGCTTCCCTCCACTTCCCTCCGCTTCCCTCCATCCCCTCCCCTCCCCTCCCCTCCCCTCCCCTCCCCTCCCCTCCCCTCTTCCAAATGTTCTTCTCCTCCCCTTCCCCACACTCTATCGTCAGATGCCTTGTCAGTTCGATGAGTCCGTGACCATCTCCCTGTCTCGCCCCAACACCCTCTGACTACTTTTGAGGCGCCTCAAAAGTCGTCTCAGTTCGATGAATCCCTGACCGTCTCCCTGTCTCGCCCCAACACCCTCTGACTACTTTTGAGGCGCCTCAAAAGTCGTCTCAGTTCGATGAATCCCTGACCGTCTCCCTGTCTCGCCCCAACACCCTCTGGCTACTTTTGAGGCGCCTCAAAAGTCGTCTCAGTTCGATGAATCCCTGACCTTCTCCCTGTCTCGCCCCAACACCCTCTGGCCTGCGGCGTGCCGGTAGCTATGAGGGGTCTCACTCAAACGTGCTCCTCCCTTTCCATCCCGTCCCCGATTCTCCCCATCCTCTGCCTTCAAATGCCCCGTCGAAATTTGATGAGGCTCTCAAGATCTCCCCTTCTCGGCCTGACGCTCTGTGGTGAAGGCGCACAAAAGATGGCAACGCGCACACCACCAGGGGTTTTCATTTCAGGCTCTTTTGGGCTAGGGCACACTCCGTGGGCTTTAAGACGTCCCACAAATCCCCCTCTTCTCCTCCCCTCTCCACTCCTCCTCTCGTCTCCTTTCCAAATGATTTCCCTTCCTTCCTTGCCGCGTCCTGTCCTCAGATGCCGTATCAAAATTTGACGAAGCCTTGAAGATCGCCCCATCTCGCCCCGACACGCTGTGGTGGCTCGGCAATGCGCACACCACGAGGGGCTTTCAGACGCCTGACTCCCAATGTTCCACCCCTCTTCTTTCGTTCTTTCCTTTTCCAGATGCTGTCTCGAAATTTGACGAAGCTCTCAAGATCGCCCCATCTCGCCCGGACACGCTGTGGTGGCTCGGCAACGCGCACACCACGAGGGGATTCCAGACACCTGACGCTACTCTTGCGAACGTCAGCTTTGAAAAGGCCTCCGACTGCTTCAGGAAGGCGCTGGATGCGGTACGTCATGGTTCAATGTGGTTCAGTGCGGTTCAGCGCGGCTCTTTAGCATGTTGGGGTATGGTTTTTCTGTACGGATTGGCTATGCGCACACCACGAGGGGATTCCAGACGCCTGATGCCACCCTGGCCAACGCGGTAGGTGTGGTTCAGTGCGGTTCTCCGTGGTTTAGTTGTCAACGCGCACACCACGAGGGGGTTCCAGACACCCGATGCCACAATGGCCAACGTCAGCTTTGAGATCGCACCCCTTCAAACATTCAAACCTTCAACCTTTCAACTTGTAAACCTTCTCCCCCCCATGGCATGGCAGGACCCGAGCAACGACGCCTACCGCAAGTCACTGGAGATCTCTCTGAAGGTGAGTCCCGTTTGGGTGTGCTTTGCTGTGTTTTCCCCGCCTGATGCCAAATCCTCTTGGCGTTTCAATTCCGGTGTTTCTGTTGAGATGCATCAGGAGGTGGAGAGACGCAGATACCTCGTAAAGTGTTCTACTTCCCTGGTTATGTTTGGCTGATATTGAGTAGTATTTTATTACTAACAAGTTTTCTTGAACCGGTTGCAGGGCCCGGAGTTGCATCAAGAGGTGCAGAAGCAGATGGCACTACAGCAGGCGCTGGGAGCGGCAGTGCATCCATCGTCCATGGATGCTCCCAAGGTACTGTACTCTCATCAATGCACTTTCAATGTTGTCTAGTGCACTTGAACCTGAGTTGCATCAAGAGGTGCAGAAGCAGATGGCACTACAGCAGGCGCTGGGGGCGGCTGTGCACCCATCGTCCATGGATGCTCCCAAGGTATGACGATCCTTTAATGACCCACTTATCCTGATTTTCGTGGGCTCTTGGTAACATCCGTTGCTGGGGGCGGCTGGGGCAGCAGCAGTCATTGGGGGCGGCTGTCCATCTATCCACCTTCGCCATGTCAGTCGATCTGAACGGGCCTGTTTTCTGATTTCGAGCTGCAGAGTGGTGATTTGAAGTGTCGCACCTCACTGTATGGCTGTGACTGCTTCCCCATCTGCAGGTCCAGAAGAAAAAGAAGAGCAGCGATCTGTGGTATGACGTGGCAGGGTGGGTGATTTTGAGTGTGGGTGTGGTGGCGTGGCTCAGCATCCTCAGTGCCCGAGCGCCGCCCCCTGCCGCTGCCAAGTAATTGGGAGGATAATGGTAGGTAGTTATGCTGCTGCTGCTGCGGCCTATTGGGAGGATAATTCTAGGTATGCTGCTGCAGCAGGGTGATTTTAAGTGTGGGTGCGTTGGCTTAGCTCAGCATTCTCAGTGCTGGAGTGCCGCCTCTTGCCGCTGTCAAGTGATCCTGATGCAGTAGCAGCAGCAAGTAACACTACCAAAAGTGGAGGAGCAACTTGAAACGATGATACAGTAGTTGCTCTGCTGTTCCATTTTGGTAGTTTCAAGATTAGTCCACTGGTGGATAGATGTAGTGTTTCTCCAATGAATACTGGCTACATGTAGCATGGAAGCTGTCCATTTTCCTCCTATTGAATTGACTACCGCTGTGGTCACTTGCTTGAAATATGGTAAGATGGTGACCATTGAAACATGGATGGACAGATAGGGCTGTCCATTTGAAATGTGAAGTCGTCTGCACAAGGCGCAGAGAGGTAAGAATAAAAGATTCTTTGTACAATCATGATCAATAACATCAAAATCAATGACAATGGTTAACTACGGTAAAGGCTACAACTTCTACATGTCTAAGCTAGTTCATGGTGACCGGCTAGCCGCCGAAGCCGTATAGTGTTCTGCCTTGGCGTTTCAAAGCATAAACCACATCCATGGCGGTGACGGTTTTTCTCCTGGCGTGCTCCGTATAAGTCACAGCGTCGCGAATAACATTCTCAAGAAACACCTTCAACACGCCACGTGTCTCTTCGTAGATTAAACCGCTGATACGCTTGACACCGCCGCGGCGAGCGAGACGCCTGATAGCCGGCTTGGTGATACCCTGAATGTTATCGCGAAGAACCTTCCTGTGACGCTTCGCTCCTCCCTTTCCAAGGCCCTTGCCTCCCTTGCCGCGTCCCGACATGGCAATTTGTCAGAATTTCCGCAGGAAGTGGAAAGGGAACGTTGCAGGGGACACGCAAATCAAGTTTTGGATGAGTAGACGGTGTTGAGCAAGAGAGACCTGCGAGAAAGCATAGAAGCTGAAAGTAATGTGATGAGCTTCTTGATAGCTGCTGGATGTTGGGCGCTTGAGTGATGAGGGGAACGGTGATGTTCTGGAACAAACTACCACCCTCCATTTATAGGTGGTTCCCCTTGGCCCCTCTGTTGTTAGGCGCCTAGGAAATGGCACAAGCGAGTTGAAAGAAGGCGCGATGGTGTTGCTCTGTTGCCCCCCCCAACAAGGGTTCCTGGCTTGAAGCTGGATTTGCGAGGCTTGCGGTGGGTGGTTTGGGAGGAAATTGGGAGTACAGAGTGATCTCTGTCGTTGATGATGCATTTCGGTGCACCTTATCGACGGCAGAACGCTAAATGCGTCGATGCGAGAGCACCATTCAGACGTGTTTTGATTGGATTTCGCGATGTCAAAAATGTTTGTGGTGTGCGGGAATGGCTCGGCACATCCCATGTGCGGGGCCAGTGCAAAAGGCGAACATACTTCGCGGGCAGGTGATAAAAAATATACACATGATGCCCAACCACTGCGCGCGAATTTGCGCCTCCAATTTTAGAAAGTCTGCACCCGTGTTTTTTTTCCCAGTCAGTTGCACCCAGGTCATAGGCACGCGGATCAACTTGCATTTGGGCGAGAAAACGCCGAAGTATGAATCTTAGGCGCAAAACAAACCATGCTGACCCGGTTTGTTCTTGTTTCTCGGCCAGAAACAAGCATAAACCCTAAACCCTGAACTAACAACAACACAGGCCCACCAGATTTGTTTTGGAAAAAACAAACGAGTTACAGCCTGTGTTTTTTAGAAGCACCTCAACACCCTGGCGAAATAGAGCGAACTGGGCGAAACGCTCAAAACGTTTATGAGCCTAGAGCACAACCCAAGTAGGGGAAACTCAAACGAGCAGCAGGTGTAGATTTCAATCACCTCGGGCACCAGAAAGTTTCAATCGCGACCACTGGGAAGCTCACCACCTTTATCGAACGGCTTACAATCCTTCCGCGTGCAGCCTTATCATTGTCCTTATCGGTCACCACCAAAAGCTTTATCGATCCGTCAAGATTTACTCTATTGGCCGAAATAAAACATCAAACAATCCCCGATGTCCCTTGAAAGCATCTCTGCAAGCAAGCAACAATTCAAATTGCTCGATGAAGCTCACTCTTCCATATTCCGAGCTTCTTGTCCAACATTCAGTCTACTTTGCTCACTAGCCTCCAGACTTCCAACGCAACCTTTAGTCAACTTTCCGCTTTCCAGTTTTAAAGTTCATACGATTTTCCTTTAGTTCCAATGGCTCCTAAGGTTGAGGGAGAGCAGAAGGCTGCCAAGAAGGGCCCTAAGAAGGAGCCCGCTGCTAAGAAGGCAGTTCCTGCAGGAAAGAAGCCCATCGGGGAGAAGAAAGAGAAGAAAAAGGCTCGCAAGGCCGTTACGGAAACTTACAAGATTTACATCTACAAGGTCTTGAAGCAAGTGCATCCAGACACGGGTATTTCGTCCAAGGCCATGTCGATCATGAACTCGTTCATCAATGATATCTTCGAGAAGCTTGCGACGGAGGCGTCGAAGCTTGCGCGGTACAACAAGAAGCCGACGATCACGTCTCGCGAGATCCAGACGGCTGTTCGGTTGACGCTGCCCGGAGAGCTGGCCAAGCACGCCGTGTCTGAGGGAACAAAAGCTGTGACGAAGTTCACAAGTGCCTAGTTTAGTGCTAATGTCTTGGCTGATATATAACTCTACTAACCCGTTTTCTAACTATCACTCGGACCAAGAGTTTGTATTTAACAGACAGATAAATGAGCCACTGGGAAGCCATGACTAACCGATCAACTATTATTTTTCATCGAGCATCCTTGTGTTGCAACCAAACAGACGTCTCAAACCGTGACAATTCTTCGTCTACACCGTGTCGGCGAAGGAGTTTGAATTCATTTGCGTATCTTACTTTTACGGGTGCAATGAATCTAAGTAGCGAGGATTGCACTAAGGTGTCAAACACACGTAAAACCAGAACTCAGATCGCGGAGGTTGCAATCCCAGGTGGGATGGTTTCGGAGCCGAAGCGAATCTTGGAAGCGGCATCAGACTACTTCCGCAGTCTTTTTGGGGAGGATAAGCGCACGGCTTTCACGGACTGGAGTCCAGCGGCGGGGAGGAAGCTGTGGTTCTCCGATGCGGAAAGTCTGCAGGAAGAGTGGACGGAGGAAGAGATAAAGCAGGCATTGCGGGAAATGGCGAACAACAAAACGCCTGGGAAGGATGGGCTGCCGAAGGAGGTCTTTGAGATGCACTGGGAGACACTCGGGAAGCATGTCATGGGCCTGGTGCGTGACTTCACCGCCACTTCCTCGCTCCCGACCAGCGTGAAGGATGCGGTGACAATCCTTCTGCACAAGAAAGGGGCAAAGGAGCAGTTGTAAAATTATCGCCCTATCACGCTACTCAATATCAGCTATAAACTGCTGGCGAGGGTCCTGGCGAGCAGAATCAAGCGCGTTCTTCATAAAGTTATCTCACCTGAACAGTTTGGCTTCATCCCGGGAAGGCGCATCTCGGATGCAGTCGGGCTGGTAGCTGATGTCATTGATGCGGCAAAAAATGGAAACGAGGACTGGTACTTGCTGTTGGTGGATTTCAAGAAAGCGTTTGATTCTGTATCCCGGGAGTTCATTTTCGAAGTAATGGAGAAGATGGGCTTCCCGGTGCGATTTATTGGTTGGGTGAAAGGCCTGCATACGAACACGAGGACAAATCTGTTAATCAACGGCTGGTTAGGTGAAGCGGTGGAGGTGGTTTCAGGGGTGAGGCAAGGTTGCCCCTTGGCGCCTTACCTCTTCCTCTGCGCGGTGGAGCCGCTGGCGCAGAAAGTGATTAAAAGGAAAATTGGAATCTCTCTCGCCAGTTGTGTCGGCCAGAAGCTGGGGTACATCGGTTACGCGGACAACACGACCCTCCTGCTGCAGGGCAAGCAACATATTAGCAGAGCGGAGGAGGTGTTGGAGGAGTTCAAAAGCCTCTCTGGCCTGGAGACGAACAAAGGAAAATCGGTAATATTGCCGTTGGGCGCTAACCTGGGAAGGAAGGCCTGGCGCGCAGATGGGTTTCGCTGGGCCGGGGCAGAGGAAGCGGAGCGGCTTCTGGGAGTCTGGGTCACGCCGAATGGTAGCTGTCAGCCGACATGGGATAAAGCGCTGCAGAAGATCGCTGGGAAAATGTCGCTGTGGCAGCCGCAATACCTCCCCATCAAGGCCCGCACGGCGGTGATGGATGGCTACATACTGCCGATCGCGTGGTCACAAGCTCAAGTGTACCTGCCGCCGGCGCGAACCTGGGGGGTGATCACTAAGATGACGCATAATTTTATGTCAGCGAACAAGGTTACATCTGAAAAATGTTTCCGACTCTGGAGCAAGGAGCTCCTATTTACACCGGTGCTGGAAGGAGGAGTGGGAGCGAAGAACCCGGAGACGATGCTCACCTGTTTGACCGCCAGAAGGATTGGAACGATACTCACCGAAACAAATCAGCTGAAGCGGGAGCTGATGCGCCAGGCAGCCGACTTACCACGTGGTCTGGAGACATTCATGGCACATGAGAAACTTCTGAAAACCTGGGAGGGGAAGAGTCAGAGGTGGAAATTGGCATGCGCGAACTTCATGCGTTCGCCGTTAGCGACGACCATGGAAGCCCGCGAAACAACAGAGCTACTGCTGGAGAGAATTACGTTCAACAGGCACATCCTCCTGAAAGGAACCACGCCTGTGGGGGGGCAGTTAGCAGCGAAGCGGCTCCTTGGCGTTCGGCTGGGAGATCTCATCACCAGAGATGCGGAAGGGCGGGGGACGCTGAAAAGCATTGAAACCTTTGAGAGAGAGCTGCGGGGGAGGGACTCGGCAAGCCTTGCACTCAAGGCCTTTGCAGCAGCGCCTGAAGAGTGGAGGAATCAGCTTGTCTCTGTCGTGCTTCCCAACGTGGGATTTGCGGAAGAGTTTGATGTGGGGAGAAGGGGTCCCCTCCAGCTCCGGAGGAAATTGATGGCGGAAGGAGGTGTGGCTCCACTGCGCGCGCTCAGAAGGTATTGGAAACATGGTGACAGCGGGGAAATTAGGCGGAAGAAGTGGGCGAGCCGTTGGGGTGGCAGCATCGACTGGAAGCGGGCAGTGCAGATCCGGGAATCTCTGGTCACCCCGAGTCGTCCGAGGGACGTTCTGCTGCGCATACACTGCCTTAACTTACAAGTTGGGGAGAGGCTGGAGTTTCTCAGCAGCGAACCAGCCTGCCCGCACTGCAACGAGTTTGAAACTCTGGAACACTGTTTTTTGGCTTGCCCAAGAATTCAAGGGGTGGTGTTGGCGGTTAAAAAGGCTTTACGAGTGGTCAACCCGTCCAGGAAAGGGGACTCGCTTGGTGATTGGCTGTTTGGGAAGGCGGGATCCCTGTCAGCCTTCCCGGAGGCATCATTGGTGGCGATTGCCCTTCATCAGCTGTGGGCGGAAAGGTGTGAAGGGGCATTCAGGGGCTGCAAGTTCCGCACGCGGAGAGTGCTGCGGAGGATTGAGTCAGCTTTCCGCATGCACGTGAATGTCTATCTGCGTGCCTCGGCGGTGAGGGTACAACGACGGGGAAAGAGTCAGCATGCCAGGTGGCAAAAAATGACGGATCAAGAACGCAAACTTCTGGACCGTATCAGAGTGGTGGATGGCAAAGGCTGGAAATGGACCAACAGCTTCGCGGCAATATGGGGCAAACCACGCAGGCCCCGGATCCATGCTTGAGGATCGAATTTGTTTCTGAGGCGGGCCTTCCTGTATCTCATGCACAGTTACGACTGTTTATGGGTTGTACACTTGTCTGTTCCAGTGTATAATTCATATAAGCAAAAAAAAAAAAAAAAAACTAAGGTGTCAAACGAGTACAAAGATGTGAGCGAATGCATGAGCAAACATTTAGGGTGCGTTCCTGTGGAGACACTTGTGTCTCAATCCCCTTTTTTCCGAGTCGCGTCTACACATTTTTTGCAATCTCGCGTCACAAAAAATGAGTGTACCACGAAACTGTGCGACCAGGCGAAATTTACAGCTGTGCTCATTTGATTGGATTTCAAACTTGACTGAACACCTGCTTCTTCAACTGTCTGGTTCGGGTGGGGTTTTGACGAGCGGAACTTTTTCCCGCGCGAGATTTGTACTGTGGAATGTCTAGGTGCATTGACATTTCGAACCGCGTACAGAGTTGTTGACAATGATGGGTCGATACGCAACTCGTCCGCGACATCAGCGCGTTTCACGCTGACAAATGAAAAATACATTAAAAGTCGCACAAGGGCGACACGCGTTTGTGACATTGTACGTTATAAGCTGGTTTTACGCGTCACAAAAGGATTGAGACACAAGTGTCTCCACAGGAACGCACCCTTATACGCGAAACATGCAAACGGTAACGCGGTGCGTGCGAGCTAGCTAGTGCTATGCTGGCAGCGAGGCTCGGGCTAGTCCCGAAGCGTGTTGGGCTGAGTGCCCCTTAGGATCTTTGGTAGGGTTAAACTCTGAGTAGAGTGATGTAGTAGCGGAAGCGTCTAAATGAAGTCCTTGAACCACCTTGCGCTGGTATGTGAGGGCAAACTAAGTTGATTAAACAAGCAAGTACAAAGGTTTATATAAGAGTACAGGGAATACGAAGAGATATAATTAAGCTGTTTTGCTGTTGCGGTTCGATACAGTGCGACTCGGGCAACTGCTCAATGTCGAGTCAGTTGTGTGTCCTTGCTGTCGCGCTGCATTTGTCAGGTCAAAGGTCGCTGACCTTTGACTTGTTGGAAACAATAGTTCCTAAGCGCCTCTGTCGTGTCGAAACACTAAGGCACAAACGAAGCAGAGCATATCGAGGCACCAGCGAGTCAACCCTCGGAGGTTGAAGTAACCGCTGGAGGTTACGCGAAAGTCGAAGGTCAGCGACCTTTGACCTGACAAATGCAGCGCGACAGCAAGGACACACAACTGACTCGTTACAGAGCAGTTGCCTGAGTCGTCACTGTATCGAACCGCAACAGCAACAGTAAAGTAGTTATAACCGTGTCTCTTCATATTCTCTGTATTCATATATAATCTTGTATCTCTTTGCTTTATCAATTCACTTTGCCCTCACATACTAGCGCAAGGTGGTTCACAAACTCTTTATTAAGACGCTTCCGCTACTACATCAACTCTACCCAGAATTCACCTCTGCAAAGATCCTACATCTCGAAGCAGACAGTACCACTCAAGAATTCAAGTTGTATCACGGGAGAGGAGGACTCTACATCGGCAGGGCGGTCCTCAAGAACAACGTCTTCGTTCTTGATTTCGTCCCTGACCTTGGCACTGCCGACAACGACGCCATCGTCAACTTCACCGACTGGACACACCCTCCGGACCTTGATCCAGACTTCAGTTTAGAAGGCTTCTGGTACTCACACACCATCCCTGAAGCAGAAAGAACTAGGGCGTTAGCAACAATCCAGACAACATCGGCAGCAGCAGAGACAACATCGGCAGCAGCAGAGACAACATCGGCAGCAGCAGAACCATCAACGGCAGCAGCAGGAATGTCAACACCAGTTGCTGGTCCTTCAACGACACCACTCCTCATCGACGACACATCACCAACACCAGCGCAACAACTGCACCCAGCACCACGAGAAGTTCATCGCAGCACCAACTTCACCGCCAACTTCTACTCCAACTCCGACATGTACCGACGATCACCCGGACATCGCGCCAACGAAAGCACCTGGCACGCACGGTTGGGACACCCAAGCAACACAGTATTAAACAATACAATAAGAGCAGGAGTACTTGACAAGGACTCGCTCCTACTAACCGACGGACGAGAACTTCAACGAGCGCGAGGAACGTGCTTCACCTGCCCTGAAGGCGACTTACCGCATCGACCATTCGCGCCACATAACAACCCAAGCGCTCCCGCGTACGCACCACTCGAGAAGGTGTATAGCAATATCCTGTTCAATCGGGAACCAGGACAAGTGACATACAACTACACGATCACCTTCATCGACGCCGCCACCCGTTACGTCTCGCACCTAAACCTACCCAGCCGCGACATGGCATTTGCAACCTTCGTTGCCTGGCTACCAGTAGCAGAGAGAGAGTCGGGCGTACAACTGAAAAGCTTCCAGTCAGACGGAGGAGGAGAATACACCTCTCAGCGGTTCAAGCAGTACCTGGCGGAAATGGGAATCAAGCAGCTCATCTCCCTTCCCTACGCCCATCAGCAGCAAGGAGTAGCAGAGAGAATGAACAGGACCTTGCAGAACACCATGCGCAAACTGCTACGTGGCATGCGGCTACCCAACCACCAATGGCCTGCAGCAATGGACCACGCTGTCATGCTGCACAATTTGCTGTCGTCGTCATCGCTTCCGAACAACGCATCACCGCATCTGCTATGGACAGGGAAACAGGGCAGCACAAAAATGTTACGAGTTTTCGGGTGCATGGTACAGCACCGACCCCCAGCAGCACGAGCGGGCCGATTTTCCCAACGAGCACAGTGGGGACTACACCTGGGAATCGAAAAGAACTACAACGCGTGGAAAATCTTCGACGTCCACTCCAAGGAAACAGTAGCAGCACGTGACGTAATTTTCTATGAACGACTCACGCTCCAGACGTACCTTGCCAACTTGCAAGAAGACGAAGATCCCACAGGTGGCCTTCGTGGTGACCGAGCCTTCGCCTCAGCAGCGGACGAAGCAGACTGGGACGAGCAGAATGTGGACAACGCATCAGAAGAAGCCGGACCTCTTCCGTTTTGCTCCGTCGACGTTCCCATGGACGAAGACAACCCTCGCGAAAGTGCCAACGCCGAAACCTTCTACCACTTCGCCGACAACAGTTACGTAACACCTGCGACAGTCAACACCAACGAAGCAGAATGAGTAGGACCAGATTTCATACCTGATCCAGAAACGGGAGACGAAGCAGCTTATCCCGAGGATGTAAATCTTCCCCGCTACTCACAGAGTGGACTGCAGATCCTCGGGCTCGTCACCGCAGTCCACGGCTCCGTCGCTCCTAAAGAGCCTGCGATGGTTCAGCAGGCTCTGGGGGGGAGAACATAAAGAAAAATGGCGCGAAGCCATGGACAAGGAGCTGAAGGCACTGGAGGAACGCAACACGTGGAAGGTGGTCCCTATCGGTGTGACACGGAACAAGACAGTACTCACCGGAAAATGGGTCTTCCGTGTGAAGACAAAGGCCGATGGCACCATCGACAAATTCAAAGCACGCTGGGTCGTTCGTGGCTTCGACTAAGAGCACGGCCGCGACTTCACCGAAACATTCGCTCCAGTCAGCCGACACACCTCGCTACGCATCCTTCTCGCGATCGCCGCCATGAAGAAGAAGAAGCTAAGGCAAATCGACGTCGCTAATGCATTCCTCTACGCACCCGTCGACGCCGAGATCTTCGTCGAGCTACCACACGGCTCCAGCACGGACTCAAAACACGTCTGTCAACTACTCAAGTCACTCTACGGCATCAAGTAAGCCCTGCGACTATGGCAACAATACCTACACGCTCGCCTCATTCGCATCGGCTTCAAGCAACTACCGCACGACCAGGGCATGTACCGGCTCTCGAAGGGTACCGGCTACGTCCTGCTAATCGTCTATGTAGACGACCTACTCTACATTGGCTCAACCGAAGGTATTACAACCTGGTTCGAAGGGGAGTTACAACAAGACCTCACACTCAGAGTCTCACCTACCGTCACACAGTACCTCGGCCTTAACATCCGAGAAGAAGAAGACGCTATCTACCTCAGCGCCACGAAATACGCCGACACCATCGCCAAGCGTTTCGCACTCACACCAACAGCTATCTCTACACCGTACCGCTACACGACAATAAGCAACAAGGAAGGCTCCGCTCTACTCAAGCCCGCCGGCATCCGCGACTACCAGAGAAAGCTGGGCTGCCTTCTCTTCGCAGCTGTCACCTGCCGCCCAGATCTATCCTACTCTGCAAGCCACCTCGCCACCTACCTCAAGAGGCCTGAAGCGGAACATCGGGCGGAGCTCGACCGCGCTCTTCACTACCTTGTCAGTACCCCGACGGTCGGTCTAACTTATCATAAGAACGCAACTACAACGCCTAAGCTAATCGGTTACGTGGACGCAGACCACGCAGGCGACTCCGACAACAGGCGACCACGCACCGGCTACATCTACCGTCTCGAGCCTATCGGGCCTATCTCCTGGCAATCGAGCAAGCAAGAACTAATTGCTCTCTTGTCAGCTGAAGCAGAATATATTGCACTCTGCTCAGCCACCAAGGAAGGACTCTATCTTCGCGAGCTACTGGAAGAAGCGAAGTTAGCCGAGTTACACAACTTCACCCTGTTCTACGACAACCAGTCGGCAATTCGCATCGCCAACAAGAACGGCTTCGCGAACAGGACGAAACACATCGCCCTACGATATTTCTTCGTGAAGGACGAGATCGAGAAAGGAAGGCTTGAACTGTCATACTGCCCCAAGTCCGAGATGGCAGCTGATTACCTGACCAAGAAGCTCGGAAAGCAGAAGTTCAAATATTGCATGCTGCTGACTGGACAGAGCCACGTCAGCGACACTCCAGAAGTGAAGGGGAGTGTCGGAAACAATAGTTCCTAAGCGCCTCTGTCGTGTCGAAACACTAAGGCACAAACGAAGCAAAGCATATCGAGGCACCAGCGAGTCAACCCTCGGAGGTTGAAGTAACCGCTGGAGGTTAC